TGTATCCACTCCCTATCCACAGATGCCAAACCTGCGGATGGGAAGGACGCACTGTGCACCACCACATAATATAAGGGGCTCGAGCATGGCCTATGTTGGTATCTGTGGGGGTCCTGAAAACAATGACCGGCAGATACCGAGGGACGATTGTACCTTAGCTGGAATCTTCCAAGTGCACCCCTCCTCAAAACAAGGACTGAGTTCTCAGCATGGTGTTTGAAATGTTTGTTTTTCGGTGTCATAAAGAAATAGCACTTGAACATAAATTTAATTTATTGAGTAAGGCCATTTTTACTTTCTGCAGAAAGGGTACGCCCACCAGCAGTTTTGCCAGGAGAGTACACTGAACAAAGGAGACAGGGTCATTTGTAAGCTGAGGCGTTTACCTTACTGCTGTGGCTGGTTTTTATTGGCTGGAACAGGACCTCACATTTTGTATTCCTCGGGATTGGCTAGCAACTTGGAACTTTTTAAAAGAGGCAAAGGTAGAGGAGAACAAAGGAAGGAAGAAGTACCTTGTGGAATGTGGAGAAAGACAAAAACACTTTTAAATAAGGAAGAGGAACAGGCTATGACCTAATGCTTGCTTGGACTAGTATAAGCATGCCAGGGCAAAATATTTAGGCTAAATTGTGGGAGCTAAGAACATAAAGTACATTTATTTTATTATAGCTAGCAGATATTTAAGAATGTTAGCACAGGTCTTTGAATAAATTTTGCTTTTAAGAGAGGTTACTATTTATTCCTAATTAGATGGGGAGGAAAGTCTTTGAAGAGGAACCTCTATTTTACTTTTTACAATGGCAAACAAGGTTATGTGGACTGGGCACCAGGTCACTGGTCCTGGTGTGTCCCCCTGCCCAGCCGCGGGCGCGCTGAACCTGTTGTTCCTCAGGCAAGCCCTCTGCATTTGCTGTTCACTCGGCCTGGAAGGCCCTTCCCTCAACCCACCCCATTCTTTAAAGATTATCTTGGAATCGCCTTTGCAAAAATTGTAACAGTGAGAAAATTACGGCAGCGGGGGAGATCTGATCTAGCTAACCCCTATTTTGCTTTTAGCCTTCAAGCTGCCCTTAATTATTCCTGGGCTTGGGCCAGTCAGTGTAACTTTGGGAGATATTTAGTTTATAGTTTAAATGATAATAACCCTTCCCCAAAAGCCAACCGCCTTTGTAAAGCTAATAAGAAATCACCAGGGTAGAAGGATAAAGGAGGCTGAATTCTGCTAAGGTGTAGACATAAACCGTTGCCAGTCATTATCCCAGAGGTCACAAGGTACGCAACTTTTCCAATTACTCTTCCAGATAACATCACTATTGTAGACCCTAAGATTGGCATTTTGAGATATCTTTTCAGGTATTTTGCATGTATGACTACCAATGGTTCCACCTGAAGCTCTAACCGCTTCTGTGGTCCCACACAGAAGCTATTGACCTGCTTGAGGACAATTTCCCACACCCCAATGACTGTATCCCCAGCCAGTAAGCAGCAAGAACCCATTGCTTAGCCATTCCATCCCTTCCCCAAACTATCTTTGGAAAACACTAGTCCCTGAATTCTCCAAGAGATTGATTTGAGTAATAACTCTGTCTCCCACACGGCATGGGTGGCCTCCTGTCTATTAAATTCTTTCTTTCTTCTTTTTGAGACAAGTTTGCTCTGTCTCCCAGGCTGGAGTGCAGTGGCAAAATCTTGGCTCACTGCAGCCTCTGCCTCCCGGGTTCAAGTCATTCTCATCCCTCAGTCTCCCAAATAGCTGGGAATACAGGCATACACCACCAGGCTCGGCTAATTTTTGTATTTTTAGTAGAGATGGCACTTGACCATGTTGGTCAGGCTGGTCTCGAACTCCTGATCGCCCTGACTCTTGATTTGCCCTCCTTGGTCTCCCAAAGTGCTGGGACTACAGGCGTGAGCCACAGTACCTGGTTCCTCTGCCACTTTTAATACAGAACTGTTTTAAGGTGTCCTGAGTTTAGCCACTACATTTTCATTTCTATAGGGCTTTGCAGTTTTCAAAGTGCTTTCATATATGATTCATTTAATTCTGTCTCTTCCTGCTCAACCTCATTACAATTCATCATTTCTGATTTTTCCTGAACTCCTGTTAAGCAGGGCTAACAGGAGTTTTGAAAAAACAAGGTAGAAAAAGGATGCAATCCCTATTTTCAGTGTGAGCAGTTGCTGGTGCCTATTTTCCCAGAATCGGCTTATTTAGTTATTTTTTGAGACAGGGTCTTGCTCTGTCCCCCAGGCTGGAATGGAATGGCACGATCTTGGTGCTCTGCAACCTCCACATCCTGGGTTTAAGCGATTCTCCAGGCTCAGCCTCCCAAGTAGCTGGACCTTCAGATGTGCACCACCACATCTGGCTAATTTTTGTATTTTTAGTAGAGATGGGGTTTCACCGTGTTGGCCAGGCTGGTCTCGAACTCCTGATCACTAAGTGATCCTTCCACCTTGGCCTCCCAAAGTTCTGGGATCACAGGTATGAGCCACTGTGCCCAGCCAGCCAGAATTGGTTTAGAAGGATGGCCACACTTCTCTTCTTGACTTGAAGAGAGGGAAGCCAACACTCCTTGAGGACACTATGTATTGCTCCTAATCCTCAGTGCATCTGTCTATGTGTTTTAATTTCGTGGAAGTGAATGGAAGAGAAAAGAATAAATAATGTGGTTTTGGAATATGCAGACAAAGAATCTTTGTTGGCTGATAGAAAGTGATGAGAGTCAGTTAAAATGTCTGAGAATTAGCTGGGTGCGGTGGCTAATGCCTGTAATCCCAGCACTTTGGGAGGCTGAGGTGGGTGGATCACAAGGTCAGGAAATCGAGACCATCCTGGCCAACGTGGTGAAACCCTGTCTCTACTAAAAATACAAAAATTAGCTGGGTGTGATGGTGCGTACCTGTAGTCCCAGCTACTCAGGAGGCTGAGGCAGGCGAATCACTTGAACCTGGGAGGTGGAGGTTGTGGTGAGCTGAGATTGCGCCACTGTACTCCAACCTGGCGACAGAGTGAGACTCTGCCTCAAAAAACAAAACAAAACAAAAAAAAACACACACAAAAGAAGTCTGAGAATTAAAATTAGAAAAATTAGCACTGTGGTCCTCCGTGTAGATGGAAGACAGCAGCAGGGTTGTTGATAGAGATTACCGATGTCAGATAGGGCATTGTTACTCCTTCGAAGGTGTTATTCATTGGTTCATTTGTTCATACACTCATATAAGTGAGCATAAACTTGGAACAATGCTAGGAACTGTGGAGCAATGCAAGGATGAGTCAGAGATGGTCCTTGCCCTAATAGGAAAAAACCGTAGCATTTACAAAAGGAAGCATCTTGCATGTATGCCTAGTACTAACTGCAGTTTCTGGTAGCTGCTTGATACATGCAGAGTGTTTGTTCAAATCATTTTTATTATAAGGGTGGAAGAGATAAAGCTCATGCTTGAATGCAGAGATGAAAGGGGCCAGGAGCGGTGGCTCAAGCCTGTAATCCCAGCAGTTTGGGAGGCCAGTGGTTCAAGCCTGTAATCCCAGCAGTTTGGGAGGCCGAGGTGGGCAGATCCCTTGAGCCAAGAGGTGCAGACCAGCCTGGGCAACATGGGGGAACCTCGTCTTTACAAAAAACCCACAAAAATTAGCTGGGTGTGGTAGCATGCCTGTAGTCCCAGCGACTCAGGAGGTTGAGGTAGGAGGATCACTAGAGCCCTGGAGGTTGAGGCTTCAGTAAGCCATGATCTTGCCACGGCACTCTAGCATGGGCAAGCATATTTTAAACTCATGTTCAAATAATGCCAATTGAGATATTAGTATTTCCTTCTTATAGGGTTGGCCCAGTTATTGTGAAATGAGATGGGGCATGCACGAGTGAAAGGATAGTGTAGGAAGACAGAAGAAATGGAGAATGAAGGAAATTGATCAAAACTGTCTTTATTCTTTAAAAGTAAGAGCCGGGTGCTGTGGCTCATACCTGTAATCCCAGCACTTTGGGAGGCTGAGGTGGGTGGATCACGAGGTCAGGAGTTCGAGACCAGTCTAGCCAACATAGTGAAACCCCCTCAATATTCAAAATACAAAAAATTGGCCAAGTGTGGTAGTGGGCGCCTGAAATCCCAGCTACGCAGGAGGCTGAGGCAGGAGAATCGCCTGAACCCAGAAGGTGGAGGTGGCAGTGAGCTGAGATTGAGCCATTGGACTCCAGCCCCAGGGACAGTGCAAGACTCCCTCTAAAAAAAAAAAAAAAAAAAAAAAAAAAAGCAAGAATAGGACGGATGCAGTGGCTCACACCTGTAATCCCAGGACTTTGAGAGACTGAGGTGGGCAGATCAGAGGTCAGGAGTTCCAGACCAGTCTGGCTAACATGGTGAAACCCCGTTTCTACTAAAAATACAAAAAAATTAGCTGGGTGTGGTGGCACACACCTGTAATCGCAGCTACTGGGAGGCTGAGGCAGGAGAATCCGCTTGAACCCGGGAGGCGGAGGTTGCAGTGAGCCGAGATCGCGCCATTGCACTCTAGTTCGGGCAACAAGATCGAAACTCCGTCTCCAAAAAAACAAAATAAATAAATAAATAAATAAATAAAAAATAAAGTAAGAATATACCTAGGCAGGGTATTTATAGAGGAAATGCAACAATCTAATATTTATCATTAATTACAAATCTTTCATTTGTAATTTACCAAAACAGTGAAAACAAACAACCCTTCCCCCGCCCCTCAATACAAACCCTCCCTTGGCTACTCCAGGGACCAGAGGCATCGCCATCGCTAAGGAGCTGGTTAGGAATGTCGGCTCTCCGACCCTAGCCCAGACTTACTGAATCAGAATGAGCATTTACCACGACCACCAGGTAACTTCAGGCATTTTACAGTTTCAGAACCCCTGCTATAGCCTGCTATACTTCAGAGCCAATATTTTGCTGAAAAGAATTCCTAGCTGGAGCCGTGGCTCCCGGAGTCTTTCACCAGATGGCAGCAGCCCACTCCTCCCTATGGCACTCCCATTGTTCCAGGCAGGATTCAGCCGCAGGCATCTCCGGAAGACTAGGGGCCGAAGGGGCGGTGGCGGGGTCGTACCCTGTGGGAGGGATCGGGTCTGCCCAATGGGTTCTCTCGGGCGGGGGGCGGGGCTCTATTTCAGCAACTCGACCGGCCTTAGGCTCCTTCCGAATTCTGAGCTCAGTATGTGGCGCCTACCCCGCGCGCTGTGTGTGCACGCTGCAAAGACCAGCAAGCTCCCCGGACCTTGGAGCAGGCCTGCCGCCTTCATGTCCACTCTCCTCATCAATCAACCCCAGTATGCGTGGCTGAAAGAGCTGGGGCTCCGCGAGGAAAACGAGGGCGTGTATAATGGAAGCTGGGGAGGCCGGGGAGAGGTATGCGGGCGCTTAAGAAATCTCTGCAGCCGCCGGGGTTCGCTCGAGGAGGCCGGGCGGGCACTGACCTACCGAGTCCCCGCTGGCGCTGGAGGAGGTAGTACAGAGTGGGAGATTTTGAAGCTCCACAGTACAAGTTTTCTCGTGTAGGGTGCCTTTAAAATGAAAACTTAGATTTTAGGTCCTTGTGCCCTATGCAGAACCGAAGTCATTTTGGAGCTGTAGGGGCCTAAACTTCCCGCTCATATTTAAAACCTTGTGGTCTTGGATCTGTAGTGAGAAATGTGGCACATTGAGGGGTGCAACTGATCTTAATTTAGAGCTTAACTTTGGCTCTTCACCTGTGACATGCACCGCAAGTAACGTTCTTCAGTGTAGTTTAAAGTTATCTCTCTTCCTGAATTCCTTGGGAGTTTGCAAGCTCGGACTTGCTGAAATCCTGCCATGTTTTACTTTGGGTTGTGAACTCCTTTGAGGACTGGGTTTTCAGCATTTCTCCGTTGCCCAGGGCTTAACACCGCGCCTGATGCCCGTTACTGCTCAATACAACGTTTTATAGAATACAAAGGAAAGGTAAGGTTATTATCGCCCAGATTTTTTTAAAAAGAAAATTTTTTATAAGAAGACGTTATATAACAGTTAAACTTTGTTGGACGTTGTATATTATATAATGAACCTGCCTTGGTAAAGGGAACACTTCTTCCTTTTGGTTATTAGTGGCTGTAGGAGATACAGATAATTTTAATTGCTCCTCAAACCTCAGTGTTTAATCTTGATTTCCATGTGATATCTAATCATTAGGCCTTTTTAGCTGTGCCTTGATTTTCCCTTTCATTGTTGACCTGAGACCTCTCCAACTGGTGTGGACACAGGCCTTTCCCATGGTTTTCCCACCTTGGCCATTTCATCTCTGAGCAGAGATGACTTGTCACTAGTAAGGGAGAGAAGGAATAACTAAAACTAGTCAGTTTGGGCTGTTATTAATGGAAAAAGAGGCAAAATAACTGGTTACATTAAAGCTTTTGTTTATACACCTAATATTGAGATGTCAGGGGAGAGTTTTGCAGTAAAGGTAGTTTCTAATGTTTAAGTCAGAAATGAAAGACAACCTCTGTAGAGTGGTTTATATGTAACAGAAGTTAACCTAAGGTTTTTGAGTTTGGATATTATATCATTTTTTCCTCTCTTCTTTTTCTTTCCCCTGAAGTTTGGTCTATTCCCTTACTTCAGAAGGGATTACGTTTTCTATACATGATCATCATCCTTTTGTTTTAAGGTTATTACGACCTATTGCCCTGCTAACAATGAGCCAATAGCAAGAGTCCGACAGGTAAGTGTGTGTGTGTGTTTAATTCAAATTACACACAAGGAGTTTGTGCAGGCTTTCTTTAGAGGCAGAAGCCAGTTAGGCAGATGAAGAATAATACAAAATCACAAATGCAGAGAATAATGTGTTTATTTTTCATTTGACATTTAGGACTGTCTGGGGGAGACTGTCCTCCCTTGGGTGGGGGCGTGAAAAGGAAAGAACCATAGAAAAGGCGAAGCATAGAAAGACTAGGCAGAGGGCCATTTAAGACAGTGCTTCTGAAGTACCTGAGGATTTTGTTAGAATGAAGCTTTTGATTTCTGAAGTTTGGGTTGGAGCTCAAGGTTCTGCATTTCTAATATGCCTCACATGTTGTTCTCAGATGAAGCTGACAGATTTGCTTTGAAAAGCAAGGTTTTAAGGCATAGCTGGATTCCAACCTGTTTTACCGGGTTCTAGCTAGTTTTGGGGAGTGTAGACTGTGGGAATCATTCTCAGCCATAAATGTTAGAGAACCCTAGAGATTTTCCAATTCTCTTCTGAAAATATTTGTGTGTTCTAGAAGATTGTCATCACTTTTCTTTATTTCCCCCTCTCTGTCCCCCTACTTCTTAATTTAGGCCAGTGTGGCAGACTATGAAGAAACTGTAAAGAAAGCAAAAGAAGCATGGAAAATCTGGGCAGATGTAAGTATGACCTTTGTTTCTAGAATTCATAAGAGGTCACTTTGCCTATTGTAAGCAATGAGATACATAAACATCTGATAAGCAGGTCAGTGCTGCCTTGTTAAAATGTGAGCTCCTTGGGGGCTGTGATACTGTACTAGGGCTCCTGCTGTCTTGGTAACACCTCTGCCATATTTCTAGGGTAGTGCCTTTTCTGTACTTGCCATTCATTGAATGGATAAATTTAAATGAATTAAAACTTTGTGCTGGTATAGTATAAACTTGAGCTGTGAACACTATTCTTCACTGAAATTACTTGAATTTATAATTAAATAGAAAATGAATAGAAGACCTATGCTAGATATATTCATTTGCTCCTCCTCTTACCCCCTGCCAGATTTGTCTGGGAGTATCTCAGCAATAGGTCATCATTCCTGGTTTAAAGAACAGCAGCAGACTGGACCTGGTGGCTCACACCTGTAATCCCAGCACTTTTAGGAGGCTGAGGCAGGTGGATCATCTGAGGTCAGGAGTTTGAGACCAGCCTGGCCAACGTGGTGAAACCCTGTCTGTAGTAAAAATACAAAAATTAGCCGAACATGGTGGCACGTGTAATCCAGTCTACTCGGGAGGCTGAGGCAGTAGAATTGCTTGAGCTTGGGAGGCGGAGGCTGCAGTGAACCAAGATAGCACCACTACACTCCATCCAGCCTGGGCGACAGAGTGAGACTCCGTCTCAAAAAAAAAGGAAAAAAAAGAGCAGTGGCAGCATCCCTTTCTCAGGGCCAGAAGCTCATATTCCTTGACTGTCTAATGAGGCTGTGAGGCAGAGTCAGCCTCCTTGGTCTCTGAGTCTCCACCATTGGTGGAGAGCAAATTTAGGAACTGTGACTGGGGCTGGGCCGGCCACACTGACTCGTCACTAGGTGGGGGCTAGGCTCCTGAGAAGGGGAGAGTAAAGGCAAACCGAACCCGGGATAGCCTGATTTCCCAACCTTCCCACTACCCCCATCCTCATTGTGCTTTGTCTTGTAAAAAGAAAAGACTGAGGGTGCCTGCCTTCTGGGAGGGTTAAATGAGTTAATCATTTAAAGTGTTTACTGGAGAGCCTGGCACAGGAAAAGCCTCCAGACATTTGAGTTAAACCCTGTGCTGCTGGGTGAGGGACTGCTGAGCTGCAGTGTTTTCTCTGAGTCAATGATTGCAACGGGGGTTGGGTGGGGTTGGGGTGGGTTGCAGAGTGGCAACCTGTCCAGGAGAGCCCTGGGTTGGATGAAGCTTTTTTTTTTTTCTTTCTTTTTTTTTAAATCAGCCAAGAGACGTCTTTGTGTAAAGCATGAAGCACATCTTTCCTCTACTTTAATTATGGATAGAAGTATGGCCTCCGGTTCCATTATACACAATCAAAAGTGTCTTTGGGCAGAAAAATACCACTTCCACAAGTAAACAGTGTGCTAGGTAAAGTTCACCCTACCTGGATAGAGAATAGTGTCCAAAACAATATCCTTCATTGTTTTAAAAACTTACTTTTATTTATTTCTGATCATAAAAGTAATAAATATTCTTTTTCTTTTCTTTTTTTTTTTAAGAAAAGATTGATGCTGTAAATAAGATAAACAAATTTAGTCCCCTTACCCCAACCTCTGCAATGCAAAATGATTATTAGGTTTAGGTTTTGGTGCATTTCCTTTCAGTCTTTTATGTATTTATTTCATAGCTGTGATTATTATACGTTCATATATACATGGCGTGTATAAAATTTTGTGACCTGTGACCTGTGATGATTTTATTGCATACCATCCTAGAGTTACTGCTTTTTTTTTTTTTTTTTTTTTTTTGAAGACAGGATCTGGCTCTGTCACCTAGGCTGGAGTGCAGTGAGTCAATCTCAGCTCACTGTGACCTCTGCCTTCTGGGCTCAGGGGATCCTCCCATCTCAGCCTCCCAAGTAGCTGTGATTACATGCACACACCACCATGCCTGGCTAATTTTTTTGCATTTTTTGTAGAGATGGGGTTTCACCATATTGCCTAGGGCGGTCTTGAACTCCTAAGTTCAAATGATCTGCCCTCTTTGGCCTCCTAAAGTGCTGGGATTACAGATGTGAACCACCATGCCCAGCTGCGTAATTTTTTTTAAAATTGTTGTTTTCCTATACGTATATACTTTTTTCTTTTGAGATGGAGTCTTGCTCTGTCACTCAGGCTGGAGTGCAGTGGTGTGATCTCTGCTCACTGCAACCTCTGCCTTCCAGGTTCAAGTAATTTCCTGCCTCAGTCTCCCAAGTAGCTGAGACTACAGATGTGCACCACCAGGCCTGGCTAATTTTTTTCTTAAATATGTTCTCCAACTTAAAACTTTTAATTAAAAAGTAAGCTTTAATGTCGAAAATGCAAACTTGGGGAAGACAGAAAAGATCACACACAAGGCTGTCACTTCACACTTGGAAGGTTGCACAGCCGCTGGACAGAGGCACTCCTCACTTTCCAGACAGGGCAGAAGCCAGACAGAGGTGCTCCTTACTTCCCAGATGGGGCGGCCGAGCCGAGGCGCTCCTCACTTGCCAGAGGGTGGGCAGTGGGGCAGAGGCGCTCCACACTTCCCAGATGGTGGGGCGGCGGGGCAGAGGTGCTCCTCACTTGGCCAGACGGTGGGAAGCCGGGCAGAGGCGCTCCTCACTTCCCAGATGGTAGGGCGGCGGGGCAGAGGTGCTCCTCACTTGGCCAGACGGTGGGAAGCCGGGCAGAGGCGCTCCTCACTTCCCAGATGGGGCGGCGGCGGGGCAGAGGTGCTCCTCCTTGGCCAGATGGGGGAGCCGGGCGAGGCTCCTCACTTCCCAGATGGTAGGGCGGCGGGGCAGAGGTGCTCCTCACTTGGCCAGACGGTGGGAAGCCTGGCAGAGGCGCTCCTCACTTCCCAGATGGGGCGGCGGCCGGGCAGAGGTGCTCCTCACTTGCCAGATGGTGGGCAGCCGGGCAGAGGGGCACCTCACTTCCCAGACAGTTGGGCAGCTGGGCAGAGGCGCTCCTCACTTTCCAGACCCTGGGATGGCCCGGCAGTGGCACTCCTCACATCCCAGATGGGGCGGCGGCTGGGCAGAGGCGCTCCTCACTTTCCAGAGTGGGTGGCAGGCCTGGCTAATTTTTGTATTTTTAGTAGAGACGGTTTCACCATGCTGGCCAGGTTGGTCTCGAACTCCTGACCTCGTGATCCACCTGCCTTGGCCTTCCAAAGTGTTTGGATTACAGGCGTGAGCCACTGCACCCGGCCTTCCTATACATTTATACTTAAAAAAAAAATAGACCAGGCACGGTAGCTCACGCTTGTAATCCCAACACTTTGGAAGGCCAAGGTGGGTGGATCACCTGAGGTTGGGAGTTCGAGACCAGCCTGACCAACATGGAGAAACCCTGTCTACACTAAAAAATACAAAATTAGGCCGGGCGCGGTGGCTCAAGCCTGTAATCCCAGCACTTTGGGAGGCCGAGACGGGCGGATCATGAGGTCACAAGATCAAGACCATCCTGGCTAACACGGTGAAACCCCGTCTCTACTAAAAAATACAAAAAACTAGCCGGGCGAGGTGCGGGCGCCTGTAGTCCCAGCTACTCGGGAGGCTGAGGCAGGAGAATGGCATGAACCCGGGAGGCGGAGCTTGCAGTGAGCTGAGATCCGGCCACTGCACTCCAGCCTGGGCGACAGAGCGAGACTCCGTCTCAAAAAAAAAAAAAAAAAAAAAAAAAAATTAGCCAGGCGTGGTGGTGTGCGCCTGTAATCCCAGCTACTCAGGAGGCTGAGGCAGGAGAATCACTTGAACCTGGGAGGTGGAGGTTACCGTGAGCTGAGATCGAGCCATTGCACTCCAGCCTGGGCAACAAGAGCAAAACTCCCTCTCAAAGAAAAAAAAAATTAATAGACTTTTATTTTTTAGAGCCGTTTTAAGTTTACAGAAAAACAAGTAGAAAGTACAGAATTTCCATTCCTCCCTCATTCCTCTTCCCAAGTTTCCTTTTTTTTTTTTAAGACAGAGTCTCACTCTGTCACCCAGGCTAGTGTACAGTGGCATGTTCACAGCTTGCGGCTCACTGCAGCTTCGACCTGGGCTCAAGCAATCCTCCTACCTCAGCCTCCTTAGTAACTAGGATTACAGGCATGTTCCTCCACACCTGGCTAATTTTTGTATTTTTTGTAGAGATGAGGTTTTGCTCTGTTGCCTAGGCTGGTCTCAAACTCCTGGGCTCAAGCAGTTTGCCCACCTCAACCTCCCAAAGTGCTGGGATTACAGGCATGAGCCACCAGGCCTGGCCATTTCCCCTATTATTAAAGTTTTGCATTAGTATGTCATATTTTGTTACAACTGATGAGCGATTGTTGATGTGTTATTATTAACTAAAGTACACAATTTACATGAGGGTTCACTCTTTGCATATACTGTTTTGAATGCTAGTGCAACTTAACATGTTGTCTTCTGGCTAGAAGCGTCTATTGTATGTGTCTATTTATCCAGGGTAAATACAAACACATTTGAAAAAGAAAAAAAGAGTTTATATGAATTCAGGATCTTGTCTTTTCCTGAACTGTTTTTTTTTTTTCTTTTTTTTTTTTGAGACTGAGTCTTGCTCTGTTGCCCAGGCTGGAGTGCAGTGGCATGATCTTGGCTCACTGCAACCTCTACCTCTTAGACTCAAGCAATTCTCCTGCTTCATCTTCCTGAGTAGCCGGAACTACAGGCATGAGCCATTGCAAAAAAATTTTTTTTTTGTGTTTTTTAGTAGAGAACAGGGTTTCACCATGTTGGCCAGGATGGTCTTGAACTCCTGACCTCAAGTGATCTGCCCGCCTCTGCCTCGCAAAGTGCTGGGATTGCAGGCATGAGCCACCGCACCTGGAATGAACTGGTTTTTAAATCTATCTTTGCCCTAGGGAGTGCCAGCTGACATTATGATCTTTCTTAAATATCGGGCTGTACTTTTTTTGGTTGCTATTTTCACATTCAGGATCTTATCTGGCAGTCAGGTCTTGCTCACCATGCCAGCCTCTGCACCTAATATCCTTTCTCATACTTCTGGTGCTTTTTAGACCTCCCAATAAATAGAATGGGGGTGCTAAGTGGGAACAGGTTGCTTTACTGGGTAATAGTAGAGTCCGTTGGGGATCCTACTTGTTTGATTTTGAGTTAAGCAATTGAGTTCAAGGTTTAGCAAAGAGGCAGAGTTTTTCCTAACTGTGCTCTGGGGCGCCTGCCAATAGGTCAGGGACTTAGAGAGGCTCAGTAAGAACAGACCAAAGCTTGACCCCCCTTCTCGTCAAAGAAGCTTTCCTGTCTCGATCCTCCCTCATGTGAGGCTTCTCTGCTTGGCCCTCGTCCGTTTGGCTGGCCTTGACTGTGTTAGGACAAACCACTGTTTCATGTAGTTCATTTGAGTTAATTCTAGAATTTTTCTTTTTCTTTTCTTTTCTTTTTTTTTTTTTCAGACAGAGTTTTGCTCTTGTTGCCCAGGCTGGAGTGCAATGGCGCCATCTTGGCTCACTGCAACCCCTGCCTCCCCTGTTCAAGCGATTCTCCTACCTCAGCCTCCCAAGTAGCTGGGATTACAGGCGCCCGCCACCAATTTTAAAAATATTTTTAGTAGAGATGGGGTTTCACCATGTTGGCCAGGCTGGTTTCGAACTCCTGACCTCAAGTGATCCACCCGCCTTGGACTCCCAAAGTGCTAGGATTACAGGCATGAGCCACTGCATCTGGCCAATTCTAGAAGTTTTCAAAGGGAACATTTTTCTTTAAGGGAAATGGAAACAAAGTGAAACATATGGAAAGGTAGTTTATAGAAATTGATTTCTTTCTAAGGAATATACTTGCTGCTTTCTTCCATGAGCCAGTTTCAGCACAGAATGGGGCCCGTTTCTGCCCTCTGCATCCCCATGTGTCCTCATTTTCCCTCTCATCTCTGGTGAGAAAGAGTGGAGTCTTACTCTGTCACCCAGGCTGGAGTGCAGTGGTGTGATCTCGGCACACTGCAACCTCTGCCTCCTGGGTTCAAGTGATTCTCCTGCCTCAGCCTCCTGAGAACCTGGGATTATGGGCACCATATGTGGCTAATTTTTGTGTTTACAGGGGCTCACCATGTTGGCCAAGCTGGTCTTGAACTCCTGATTTCAAATGATCCACCTGCCTCGGCCTCCCAAAGTGCTGGGAATAGAGGTGTGAACCACCATCCCCAGCCATAATTTTCCAAAACCACTTTCTCTTGCTTTTTAGCCTTTGCGTATGCTCTGTACCTCTCTATCCCCATGCTTTTCCTCTACTTTGCCTGCCTCTTCACAACATCTGGCATGTTTTAGGTCTTAGCCCTAAACTCTAAACTTGTAAAAAGCCTACTTCGGATTGCTCCAGTTGTGAAATCCAGCTCCCCTTTCGTGGCATTTGCCACATTAGATTGTACTTACCTGTTTCTTGCCTTTATCATCCCCATGGACTGTCAACTCTATAGAGAGCAAGAATTGTAACTGCCTCATTTGCAGTAGAGTATCCAGGGATTAGCACAGTATCTGGCACATAGAACATGTGCAATGATTATTGTTGAAAGACTGACTGAATAAAATGTGTCCAGAATGGGAGGTAAAAGGCCATGTATACTGGCCATTCTGAGTTGAAATTAACCAACTTAACTAAACGTATAAATGTGCTTACTAAATTCAATTGAAACATCATTAAACCCACACCATGTGCTAGGAAATGTATAGGTTGTGTGCTGATTGATTTAATGCTACAGGTTTTGTTTCCTGTTTCCAAAAGTGTGCATATATTGTGAAAATGACAGACATTGCAAACATACAAATTGTGGATGAAAATCTGTTATAATTTCACTCACCAGAAAAAACCATTGTGAACAGCTTGGTATATGTTCCTCCAAATTTAAGCAAAAGTTTAGTTACCATAAGTGTTTTCTTGTTTTCTATTATCCTATCATAGCTTTTCAATGTTTTCCCATAAAAATCGACCTTATTTTATCACTGTTCCATAATTAACCAATCATGTGCTGATGGACAGTTGGATGGTTTTTTTTTTTTCTTTACTAGAAACAGCACTGCAATGAATATCATTGTACCTATACTTTTGCATACTTATGTATAAGCTCAGTTTCCATAAGCTGAACTGCTTAGTTAAAGGGTAGGAATGTCATGCCTGTAATCCCAGCACTTTGGGAGACCGAGGCGGGCGGATTACCTGAGATCAGGAGTTCCAGACCAGCCTGACCAACAATGGTGAAACCCCGTCTCTGCTAAAAATACAAAAAATTAGCCGGGTGTGGTGGCAGGCGCCTGTAATCCCAGCTACTTGGGAGGCTGAGGCAGGAGAATCACTTGAACCCAAGAGGCGGAGGTTGCAGTGAGCCGAGATTGTGCCACTGCGCTCAAACCTGGGTGCAACAGAGTGAGACCCCGTCTCAAAAAATAAATAAATAAATAAATAAAACAAAGGATAGGAATGTTTTAAATGTTAATAGATTGCAAAGTGACCATCCAGAAAAGCTGTGCTAAGACATGATAATACACTTGGGGAGAAGAGAGAGCAAGGAAAAAGCCTTGAGCTCACAGTCAAGCTCTGTGAGGCAAGTGTGAGCAGTACTGTGATTAGGCGCAGTGGGAGTTAGGGGGAGGGTGTGATTGGCCTCTGCCTGGGGGAAGGTTTCATGGAGGGGAGTGTTCCTTTTACCTGTACTTTTATTTTTTTATTTTTTTATTTGAGATGGAATTTCACTCTTGTCATCCAGGCTGGAGTGTAATGGTGGGCTCTCAGCTCCCTGCAACCTCCCCCTCCTGGGTTCAAGTGATTCTCCTGTTTCAGCCTCCCGAGTAGCTGGGATTACAGGCACCTGCCACCATACCCGGCTAATTTTTGCATTTTTAGTAAAGATGGGGTTTCACCATGTTGGCCAGGCTCATCTTGAACTCCTGACCCCAAGTGATCCACCTGCCTTGGCCTCTCAAAGTGCTGGGATTACAGATGTGAGCCACCACGTCCAGCCTTAGCTGTACTTTGAAGAAGAGGCAGAATTGGGAAGAACTTGATGGGAGAGAGGGAGTAATGGTCACAGTTGGAAAAATTGTGTCTCATTCATGAATCACATCTCAAACTTTATGACATAAGCTGTGCTCTTTACCCCCAAAACCTGATGTTTCCCTTCAAGTCTTCTTCATCCCAGTAATTATACTTCCATCTACCTAGCTATTGAAGCTAGAAACCTGGAAGTCATCCTGAGTTCTTTTATGCTCTTCATTTCCTGCATCTGTGTGTCCTTTCAATTCTACTCCCAAAATAGACCCTGAATCCACTTGTTCCCCTTGTTACCACTGCAATCCTTTTTTTTTTTTTTTGAAATGGAGTCTCGCTCTGTCGCCCAGGCTGGAGTGCAGTGGTGTGATCTCGGCTCACTGCAAGCTCCGCCTCCCAGGTTCACACCATTCTCCTGCCTCAGCCTCCCGAGTAGCTGGGACTACAGGTGCCCGCCACCATGCCCAGCTAATTTTTTGCATTTTTAGTACAGATAGGGTTTCACCATGTTAGCCAGAATGGTTTCCATCTCCTGACCTTGTGATCCGCCTGCCTCGGCCTCCCGAAGTGCTGGGTTTATAGGCATGAGCCACCGTGCCCGGCTACCACTGCAATCTTAAGACTAAGTCTCTGTAATCTTTTTTTTTTTTTTTTTGAGACAGAGTCTTGCTCTTGTTGCCCAGGCTGGAGTGCAGTGGCATGATCATGATCTTGGTTCACTGCAGCCTCCGCCTCCTGGGTTCCAATGATTCTCCTGCCTCAGCCTCCCAAGTAGCTGGGATTACAGGTGCCCACCACCACATCTGGCTAATTTTTTGTATTTTTAGTGAGACGAGGTTTCACCATGTTGGTCAGGCTGGTCTTGATATACTGACCTCAGATGATCCACCCACCTTGGCCTCCCGAAGCTGGGATTACAGGCGTGTGACACCGCGCCTGGCCTATAATACAGTCTTAACTGATCTCCCTGCTTCTACTCTTTTCCCCTTCAACATATCCTCTACTTGTCTGATAGCATATTAAAATTAAAGCAAATCCTCTTATTCTGCACCTTAAAAGCCATTCAAGACTTCACATTGCACCTGGAGTAAGATTCTAACACCTTACAAGCTTCTGGCTTTAGACATACTGGCTTTCCCAATCAGCCGCTTTTATTTTCCATGGATCCCTCTTACATGTTTTTTTCTTATCCCTGGGAAGAATATTCCTATGACTTACTTTTCCCATTCTTCAGGTTTCAGCTTCAATATTACCTCCTTTGAGATTTTTCCTGGCAACCCTTTTTTTTTTTTTTTTTTTTTTTTTGGAGATGGAGTCTCACTCTATTGCCAAGGCTGGAGGGCAGTGGCACGATCTCGGCTCACTGCAACCTCCGCCTCCAAGGTTCAAGCAATTCTCCCATCTCGGCCTCCCGAGTAGCTGGGATGACAGGCGCACACTACCATGCCCAGATAATTTTTGTGTTTGTAGTAGAGATGGGGTTTCACCATGTTGGCCTGGCTGGTCTCGAACTCCTGACCTCATGATCTGCCACCTCTGCCTTCCAAAGTGTTGGGATTACAGGTGTGAGCCACTGCACCGGGCCTCCTGCCAACCTTTTAGGTAAAGTTACTTACCCATTTCCCCTCCAATCTTGCTGTTTTTCTCTTCCTCAGCTTCCTTTTTATTTCCTTTGTCTTTATAACCCTGATGGCAATTTGTAGTTATTTGTTGCCTTTTCTTCTCCTCTATGCCTTCCAGTAGGTATTTGCTCCAGGAATGCCTTGCTTCTTATTTTAGCTTTAGTGTCTGGTCATATCACAGTCTTGACATGATCAAAAGTCTTTGATATGATTGTACTTTGTTCTTTTACAGCACACATCCAATACTGTGTTACAGACATGAATTTATGCTTTGAATCAGACACAAAAATTGCATTATTTTCTTAGATTCCTGCTCCAAAACGAGGAGAAATTGTAAGACAGATTGGCGATGCCTTGCGGGAGAAGATCCAAGTACTAGGAAGCTTGGTAAAGTATTTTTGTAGTATATACACAATTCTTTGAGTGGAGAATAAGGCTGTCATGCTTTTCTATATATAAGATTGTGAGGTTTTTTTTGAGACGGAGTCTCGCTCTGTCCCCCTGGCTGGAGTGCAGTGGCGCGATCTCGGCTCACTGCAAGCTCCGCCTCCCGGGTTCACGCCATTCTCCTGCCTCAGCCTCCTGAGTAGCTGGGACTACAGGTGCCTGCCACCGCGCCCGGCTAATTTTTTGTATTTTTAGTAGAGACGGGGTTTCACCGTGGTCTCGATCTCCTGACCTTGTGATCCTCCTGCCTCAGCCTCCCAAAGTGCTGGGATTACAGGTGTGAGCCACCACGCCCCGCCGATTGTGAGGTTTTTTAAAATTTATTTTGAGATGGAGTCTCGCTGTCACCCAGGCTGGAGAGCAGTGGTACAGTCTTGACTCACTGCAGCCTCCGCCTCCCGTGTTCTAGCAATTTCCCTGCCTGAGCCTCCTGAGTAGCTGGGATTACAGGCTTGTTATAACACGGCTGGCTACGTTTTTGTATTTTTTTTTTTTTTGAGACTGAGTCTCGCTCTGTCGCCCAGGCTGGAGTGCAGGGGCGCGATCTCGGCTCACTGCAAGCTTTGCCTCCCAGGTTCACACCATTCTCCTGCCTCAGCCTCCTGAGTAGCTGGGACTACAGGTGCCCACCACCATGCCCGGCTAATTTTTTTGTATTTTTAGTAGAGACGGGGTTTCACCATGTTAGCCAGGATGGTCTCGATCTCCTGACCTCGTGATTTGCCCGCCTCAGCCTCCCAAAGTGCTGGGGTTACAGGCGTGAGCCACCGTGCCCAGCAATTTTTTGTGTTTTTTAAGTAGAGATGGAGTTTCACCATGTTGGCCAGGCTGGTCTTGAACTCTTAACCTCAGGTGATCCCACCTGCCTCAGACTCTCGAAGTGCTGGGATTATAGGCGTGGGCCACCACACTTGGGTAGATGAGTTTTTAAGAAAAGTAGTTTATATTATATTTTATTTATTTATTATTTAATAATTTATTTATTTTCGAGATGGAGTCTTGCTCTTTCCAGATGGAGTCACCCAGGCTAGAGTGCAATGGCAGGATCTTGGCTCACTGCAACCTCCCCATCTCGGGTTCAAGCGATTCTCCTGCCTCAGCCTCCCGAGTAGCTGGGATTACAGGTGTGCGCCGCCACGTATGGCTAATTTTTGTGTTTTTAGTAGAGATGCGGTTTCACCATGTTGGCCAGGCTGGTCTTGAACTCTGGACCTCAGGTGATCCGCCTGCCTTGGCCCCCCAAAGTGCTGGGATTACAGGCATGAGCCACTGTGCCCGGTTGTACTTAATGTATTTTAAAAATTCTTTCCTTAGAGGAAAGATTAACAAGGTAGACAGGAAAAAGTGAAGGCAATTCTTGTGTTTGAAATTTCTTTGGGAAATAAAACAGACTTTCTTCAGTTTATTACATTTACAAAATATGTTTTGCTTCCCCCTTTCTTTAATTTAATGTTTATAATGTGAATTCTGTTGGAAAAATTCTGCTTGTCGTTTTATATTTCTAGGTGTCTTTGGAGATGGGGAAAATCTTAGTGGAAGGTGTGGGTGAAGTTCAGGAGTATGTGGATATCTGTGACTATGCTGTTGGTTTATCACGGATGATTGGAGGACCTATCTTGCCTTCTGAAAGTAAGCAATGAAATTAGTTAAGCTGAGTTTTGTACTCTGATATACAGAGCTCCAAAAAAAAAAAAAAAAAAAAAAAAAAAGTACTCTGGCTATGGACTGTGCAAAAGAGAAATTTCTTTTTTTTTTTTTTTTTTTTGAGACGGAGTCTTGCTCTGTCGCCCAGGCTGGAGTGCAGTGGCGCCATCTCGGCTCACTGCAAGCTCCGCCTCCCAGGTCCACGCCATTCTCCTGCCTGAGCCTCCCGAGTAGCTGGGACCACAGGCACCCGCCACCACGCCCGGCTAATGTTTTTGTATTTTTAGTAGAGACAGGGTTTCACCATGTTAGCCAGGATGGTCTCGATCTCCTGACCTCATGATCCGCCCGCCTCAACCTCCCAAAATGCTGGGATTACAGGCGTGAGCCACCGCGCCTGGCCATAAGAGAAATTTAAAGTGACATAAATAGGTGAAAATATCCTCAATCTTTCAAAGAAATATAAATTAAAATATGAAAATGTTAGATCAAGAACCTTTTTGTTTTAAAGATAAAACTTAATGTTGGCAAGTGCATGGTTAGACACTTTTAACTCATCTGTAAAATGATTTGGAAATATGCCCAAAGAGCTGTAACTTTAAAGAGCCCAGTTTTAAGAATCTAAGTAAATAATCTGAAATGAGACAGAAGTTATGTGTAAAGAAGTTCATTGTGGCATCAATTAAAAACATTAGAAATGACCTAAATGTCGAATCATAAGGGGAAAAAATCTAAGCCAATTTTAGTAGACTATTAGCATGTACTAAAAATAATGTTTGTGAAGGTTGTCTTCCCCTGACCCACACGTTTACAGGAAGGTTTTATTTACTTGTTTTTAAATTATACTAATGTTAACTTTTTTTGAAGAGGTGATAGATTCATATCAGAAAATTAGAAAGCAATAAAAGGGTAAAGGATGAAAAGTTTCCCTCCTACCCCTGTGGCTAAGCCATAGTACCCCATGGAAGTAGTGAATGCTTTCAATTTCTTGTGTGTCCTTTTTATATTTGTAGGATCTTGCTGTGTTCTTCAGGCTGGTCTCAAACTTCTGGCCTCAAGTGATCCTGCCCTTCAGCCTCTCCAGTAGTTGGGATTATAGGCGTAAGCCACACCCTGCTAGGCCCTTGTGTATCTTTTTTAGAGCTTGTACAGCCAAATATATAGCAAACTATGCATTCTTGTTTTTTTTTTTTTTTTTTTTGAGACTGACTCTCGCTCTGTCGCCCAGGCTGGAGTGCAGTGGCGTGATCTCGGCTCACTGCAACCTCCGCTTCCCGGGTTCAAGCAATTTTCTGCCTCAGCCTCCCGAGTAGCTGGGATTACAGGCATGCACCACCACACCCAGCTAATTTTTATATTTTTGGTAGAGGTGGGGTTTCACCGTCTTGACCAGGCTGGTCTTGAACTCCTTACCTCATGATCCACATGACTCGGCCTCCCAAAGTGCTGGGATTACAGGCATGAGCCACTGTGCCCGCCCGCAAACTATACATTCTGTTTTATACTTTTATATTCAATAATATATCTTGGAAATTGTTTTTTTGTTTTCTTTTTTTGAGACAAGATTTTACTGTCTTGCCCAGGCCAGAATGTAGTGGCACGATCACAGTTCATTGCAGCCTTAACAACCCCGGGATCAGGCCATCCTCCCACCTCAGCCTCCTGAGTGGCTGGGACTATAGGTGCACGCCACCATACCTGACTTTTTTTTTTTTTTTTTTTTTTGTAGAGGTGAGATTTGGCAATGTTGCCCAGGCTGGTCTCAAACTCCAGGGTTCAGGTGATCGGCCTGTCTCAGCCTCCCAAAGTGTTAGGATTATAGGTGTGAACCACTGTGTCAGGCTGGAAATTGTTTTCATGTTAGTCTATTAAGGGGCTTCCTTCATCTGTGTCTGCTGCTGTCTATTCTGATATAAAGAGACCATAATTTATTTAGTCAGCTCCCAAATGATGTATATGTAGGGTTGTTTTCAGTGTTTTGCTATTACAAGCTGTTCTGTAAGAACCAATCTTATACTCTGAGGTTTTAACAATGAAGATAATAAGATGACAGCAAGAGTAAGAAAAAAAAAACTGGACATGGTGGCTCACACCTGTAATCCCAGCACTTTGGGAGGCTGAGGCGGGCAGATCACCTGAGGTCAGGAGTTAGAGACCATCCTGGCCAACACGGAGAAACCCTGTCTCTACTAAAAATACAAAATTAGCCAGGTATGGTGGCGCATGCCTGTAATCCTGGCTACTATGGAGGCTGAGGCAGGAGAATCACTTGAACCCGGGAGGTGGAGGTTACCGTGAGCCAAGATCGTGCCATTGCACTCCAGCCTGGGCAACAAGAGCGAAACTCCATCTCAAAAAAAAAAAAAAAAACAAAAAAAACGCGGTTAAGAGTATATGCGATTTGTGATGTTTGCAATGTGGATGGAGCAAAACAGGTGACTGTGTCTGTATTGGCAATGCTGGGATAGAAATGTATGCTAAAGTGGTAGCAGTGGTTATCTCTGTGGCAGAATTATTAGTAGTGGATTTTCTTCTATTTTTCTATATTTTCTAAATTTCCATGATGGTTATTAGGTTACATTTATAATCAGGAAATAAACATTTTTAAAAAAATCATATTTTTCTCTTTTTCTCCAGATATTAAGTAAATTCCCTTCTTGTAGAAAGAGTTGGGGGAGTCTTTTTAATATACAGTTAATGTCCTTAATTAGATATCTAGCAATGATTCCCATTATCCAATATTAATTTTATGTCATTGAACACTTTCAGGAGTTTTTTTCCAGCTAAAAAAAGTTAATAACAATGCGGTGACTCACGCCTGTAATACCAGCACTTTGGGAGGCAGAAGTGGGTGGATCTCTTGAGGTCGGGAGTTCAAGACCAGCCTGACCAACATGGAGAAACCCCATCTCTAATAAAAATACAGATAAGCTGGGCGTGGTGGCACATACCTATAATCCCAGCTACTTGAGAGACTGAGGCAGGAGAATCGCTTGAACCTGGGAGGTGGAGGTTGCAGTGAGCCAAAATCACGCCATTGCTCTCCAACCTGGGCAACAGGAGGAAAACTCCGTTTCAAAAAAAGGTTAATAAACCTCCAATTTGGGGACATGTACATGTGCAAGCAGGTAACTCCTTTGATTTATACCTACTATGATGCCTGCCTCACAATTAAAACATTTCTCAGTTGCTTGTACATTTTTGTTTGTTTATTTGAGATAGGATCTCTGTCACCCAGGCTGGAGTGCAGTGGTGTGATTATGACCCCTTGCAGCCTGGACCTCCTGGACTCAAGCAATCTTTCCACCTCAGCCTCCTGAGTAGCTGGGATTACAGGCACACGCCACCAAGCCCAGCTAATTTTTAAATTTTTCTTGTTGAGACGAGGTCACACTATGTTGCCTAGGCTGGTCTAGAACTCCTTGGCTCGAATAATCCTCCTGCCTTGGCCACCCAAAATGTTGGGATTATAGGCATGAGCCACTACACCTAGCCTACACTTTTTTTTTTGTTTTTTTTTTTTTTAAGTAGTTTACTCATCTATGTAGAAGCTTTGGGGTAACTTTGGCTTTATTAATTCAATAAATACTTACGGAGCATCTATCAGGTGCCGGATAATCTACTAGGTGATACTCAATCTATAAGGCATAGTCCCTGTCCTCAAGGGATTTATAAGCTTATAAATTTTACCTTACAGTGGGAGATAAATAAACAGGTAATTATATCCAGCATACTCCATCATGGTAAGTAATATGAGGGAGTAGACGGTAGGATGGTGGGCACGTAGCTGGGAGCCCCTAACCCAGCCTCGTGAGTGCAGTCGGGGAAGGCCTCCAAGAGAAGGTCAGCCAAGGTAAGGTCCCAAATGGGACAAAGAGGAGAAGGAGTGGAGTGCTGGAAGTTGTTTTAAAGAAGGAAGACGCCTGTGTGAAAGCTGGGCGAGTCTGGCTTATTTGGGGGGATTGTATTGCTTCAGCACAGCTGCAGGTACAGTGGTAGGGCAGGTGGACTGGAAAGAGAACCTTGGGAAGGGACGTTTTCTGACAAGGAGACTGGACTTTATTCTGAGAATAGCTACAGTAGGTATCCAAACTCCAGAGGGTTATAAGCAAGGGGGTGACATCAGGGCAGAGATGGGAGGGCAGGAGAGGAGGAGAGCCCTACCAGGCAGAGGCTGTGCCAGCACTTCATCTCTAGGGATTAAGGTGCCTAGATTAAGGAGGGCCCAGGAGTGAGGTGCTGCATCTGGTATGGTCCCTCATCCTAGCTAGCAGTATGAGTGTGGCCAGAAAGACTGATGGCTGGGACAGCCGCCTTTCCAGTTGATCTGTGGTTTTAACCAGGAGTTGTGAACCCTTGTATTCCTGTGGTATGGTTCTATACTGTTCCAGCTGCCTTTAATTAAAATAAACACCTTGAGGGATAATGGGTGACTTTAAAGTTTGTATTTAAAATACAATATTTTTGTTTGTATTTTCTTTTTCTTTTCTTTCTTTTTTTTTTTTTGGAGATAGCGTCTTACTCTGTTGTCCAAGCTGGAGTGCAGTGGTGCAATCACAAGTCACTTCAGCCTCAACCTCCTGGGCTTAAGCAGTTCTCCCACCTCAGCCTCCCAAGTAGCTGGGACTACAGGCATATACCAATCATACCTAACTAATTTTTAATTTTTTTTTGTGGAGACAGGGGTCTTGCCATGTTCATCCAAGTTTCAAACTGAGCTCAAGTGATTCTCCTGTCCCAGCATCCCAAAGTGCTGGAGATTACAGGCATGAGCCACTGTTAAGCTTATTTGTATTTTTAGTTTTCTTATAGTGAATGTAAAGATATGCATAATTCATTTTATTTATTTATTTATTTATTTATTTATTTATTTATTGAGATGGAGTCTCCCTCTGTTGTCCAGGCTGGAGTGCAATCGCAGGATCTCAGCTCACTGCAACCTCTGCCTCCCGGGTTCAAGCGATTCTCCTGCCTCAGCCTCCTGAGTAGCTGGGATTACAGGCACGTGCCACCACACCCGGCTAATTTTTGTATTTTTAGTAGAGATGGGGTTTTACCATGTTGGTCAGGCTGGTCTCGAACTCCTGACCTCGTGATCCGCCCGCCTCTGCCTCCCCAAGTGCTGGGATTACAGGCGTGAGCCACCGCGCCTGGCCTGCATAATTCATTTATTCAACATATATATAATTATTAGAACTCCCCCGTCCCATCTTCCACCAATAAATGAGCCATCTTGTCTCGAATTCAGAGATGTTGGCCCAGGGATTCATCAGGTAACATAAAGAATATGGGAGGCCAGGTGTGGTGGCTCACTCCTGTAATCCCAGCACTTTGGGAGGCCAAGGTGGACAGGTCACTTGAGGTCAGGAGTTTGAGACCAGCCTGGGCAACATGGTGAAACTCCTTCTCTACTAAAAATACAACAATTAGCTGGGCATGGTGGTGTGTGCCTGTAATCCCAGCTACTCAGGAGTCTGGGGCTCGAGAATTTCTGGAACTTGGGAGGTGCAGGTTGCAGTGAGCTGAGATTGCGCCGCTTCACTCCAGCCTGAGTGACAGAGTGAGACTGACTCAAAACCAAACAAAACAAAGAACGTGGGCCTAAGTCCCTGTGCCCTGGTCATGTTCTGCCCTTTGTGTTCATACCACCTAGGGCAGCCATCATCTCTAGAAAGTGTCCTTGTCTCCCAGGTGCACTGATACTGCTCTGATCTATGCAGAGTCCTATGAAGATCAGAGGCATAATGAATATCATTATGATTTACAAGGTAGTATAGTAATAACCACTTTTGTTGTACATTAGTTAATGTACCAATATCCCACGGCTGTGTAGCAATATCCCACTATAAGGCACCTGAAATCTTCTCCGGTCTGCTATACATTTGTTCTTATTAACTTGATGGGCATTAAATTAACTTGCTTCAGCATGTTGCTTCCTTTTCCTGTTCTCAGGACCTGGCCATGCGCTGATTGAGCAGTGGAATCCTGTAGGCCTGGTTGGAATCATCACGGCATTCAATTTCCCTGTGGCAGTGTATGGCTGGAACAATGCCATTGCCATGATCTGTGGAAATGTCTGCCTCTGGTAAGACCTGCTCACTTTCCTCTCTAGTAGTGAGTGATAAAAATAGCATTTCTAGATACTACTGCCTCAGCCTCTTGAGTAACTGGGATTATAAGTGTGTGTCGCTACACCTGGCTTCATCAATAACACTTTATTTTATCTTTTTTTGAGATGGAGTTTCACTCTTGTTGCCCAGGCTAGAGCGCAATGGTGTGAACTCAGCTCACTGCAACCTCCGCCTCCCAGGTTCAAGCAATTCTCCTGCCTTAGCCTTCCAAGTAGCTGGGATTACAGGCATGTGCCACCACACCCAGCTAATTTTTTGTATTTTTAGTAGAGATGGGGTTTCACCATGTTGGCCAGGCTAGTTTTGAACTCCTGACCTTAGGTGACCCACCTGCCTCAGCCTCCCAAAGTGTTGGGATTACAGGTGTGAGCCATTGCACCTGGCTAGTAAAACTTTGATAGTAAACTCCCAAGTAATTCTGAGGCACTTGGTCAGTGTTCTCATTTAGGTCTTAAATTTTTCAACTTACAAAATATTTGATAGTAAAAATGTCTGTATATTATAGATGGCAAACAGTTACTTGTTTTTTGCTTTTGTGTTCAGTGGAAGAAATTAAATGAGAAAAATCAGGACAATTGTTTTTGGCTCATTTTGCTTACGTCTGTTCCACTAGTTATTAATTTAGTTTAAATGTGTGGTACTCAGTTGAATCTATTCAAAAACTATAAAATAGGACATATTTGGGAGGACTAATAATTTGCACCATGTGGTGAAGCAAACTCATGTTTTCCAACATTCTAATCCAAAAAGGCTCATTGTGTAGTTTTCCTCGGCTCTCTGAGTTTTCCAAGGAAAGTTTAGTTAATGCAGCACGTTGGTAGATTTCTGCTTCACTCATTTCCCATAATTGGCTGAGGTTAATGTAAGGATTCCTGCGATTAGTGCAGCAAGCTGATTCAGAATTGCTCGGTGCCATTTTTGTGTTCATGAAAGTTTTGTTGTTCCTTAGGTCTCAAAGACACCCAGCTAAAGGACAGATTTCTATTTCAGTTACTAGACTCATTTGTCAGTTGTCTGATTGGACAGAGCGTTTTCTCACACTTTTGCGTCTGTTTGATAATAAAAGGTATTTATGGTTTCTGTCAATAAGTTTTTCTTTTTCTTTTTTTGTTTTAACCTTCTTAAGGAAAGGAGCTCCAACCACTTCCCTCATTAGTGTGGCTGTCACAAAGTAAGTACGTGTGGCTTTCTTTTTCCTGGGTATGGAATGATATCGAAAGGGTGATTAATAGCCATGACTTTTTAATCTGATATCAAAGAGTCACATAGCATGGAATTTGGATAACCTCTTTCTCCTTTGCTTGTAATATTATTTTTATATACAGAGTGCTTTCAGTGCCATGTCATTTAATTTAACTCTTTGGAAACATGCCAGATATTGACATATTGATTGAACACTTGCAGACATTATTTTGTCACTTGGAAAATAAAAGCATCTTCAGTGGAAAGGAAATTTTTGCAATTTAGGAGCTATATTTTCTCACTATTCAACAAGTTAATGGTTTTGAGAATAGATTTCTATACAGTTAATACTTACATTGCTTTTGCTTAAGAGAGTGTTAACAAAATTGATTATTATACTAATCTGCTGATTCATCTAACACTGAAATGTATTGCATCTTTTGGTTAAACAATTATTAGTGTTTACTTGTATTTGAGAACTTGGGAGCTCTGATTAAGTCATAAAAGCAATGTGACTGATGTATCATTCTGGAATTTGGAGGATGTATAGAGTTAGGGTGCCTTCCCATGTAGGATTAGGATGTACCTTTGATGTTCCATTGCTTGCCTGGTCTGCATTCTGATTTCAGAATTATTAGTAGAGAAATTGGGGTGGAGTCTGTGGGCAAGAGGGTTCTTCATATTAGAAGATTATTATTATTATTATTATTTTTGAGATGGAGTCTCACTTTGTCACCCAGGCTGGAGCTCACTGGCACAATCTCAGCTCACGGCAACCTCCTACTCCCTGGTTCAAGTGATTCTTCTGCCTCAGCCTCCCAAGTAGCTGGGATTACAGGCATGTGCCACCACGCCCAGCTAATTTTTATATTTTTAGTAGAGATGGGGTTTCACCATGTTGACCAGGATGGTCTCGATCTCCTGACCTCGTGATCCACCTGCCTCAGCTTCCCAAAGTGCTGGGATTACAGGCATGAGCCACTGCGCCCAGCCTAGACAATTATTTAGAATAGTGGCTTAGGAATTGGAAAGTGGTGGGCTGGAAAAGAGCAAGGGTAATTGTTTTAATTTTTATTTTTTATTTTTTTTTGAGACAGAGTCTTTGTTGCCCGGGCTGGAGTGCAGTGGGGCCATCTCAGCTCACTGTAGTTTCTGCTTCCTGGGTTCAAGAGATTCTCATGCTTCAGCCTCCCGAGTAGCTGGGATTACAGGTGTGGGTCACCATGCCAGGCTAATTTTTTTTTTAAGAGAGAGTCTCGCTCTGTCGCCCAGGCTGGAGTGCAGTGGCACAATCTTGGCTGACTCCAACCTCTGCCTCCAAGGTTCAAGCGATTCTCCTGCCTCAACCTCCCAGGTAGCTGGGATTACAGGTGCATGCCACCATGATTGGCTCATTTTTTCTTTTTTTTTTTTTTTGAGACAGAGTCTTGCTCTGTCGCCAGGCTGGAGTGCAGTGGCGTGATCTCTCGGCCCACTGAAACCTCCGCTTCCTGGGTTCAAGCGGTTCCCCTGCCTCAGCCTCCTGAGTGGTTGGGGCTACAGGCATGTGCTACCATGCCTGGCTAATTTTTTGTATTTTAGTAGAGATGGGGTTTTACCATGTTGACCAGGATGGTCTCAATCTCCTGACCTCGTGATCTGCCCGCCTCAGCCTCCCAAAGTGCTGGGATTACAGGCGTGAGCCACCGTGCCCGGCTAGCTAATTTTCATATTTTTAGTAGACATGGGGTTTCACCATGTTGTCCAGGCTGGTCTTGAACTCCTGGCCTCAAGTCATCTGCGTGCCTCGGCCTCCCAAAGTGCTGGGATTACAGGCATGAACCCCTGCCCGTGGCCTAAAAATAAAACAAACAAACAAAAAACCAGCAGAATAATTAATGTGGAAGTAGTGAACTAACAATTGTTACGAAGTAGTTGGTTAAAATTTTGTCCATTTGATACCGGTTTTGCTTTAAGCTTTTTTTTTGTTTTAAAGAGTTGAAGAATTTGAAATGTTCGTGTGAGAGTTTATGTGCGGGTTGATAGTTTTCAAAGCATTGAAAATGTGATTTGCTTTTGTAATGGAAGATAGTAAGTCACATGATGCTAAATTTTGCTGGAATTAACTAAGGGTGATGCAGTGCCACAAGGAGGTCTTCTTAAGTTCAACTAAATTTTCAGATTCCTTAGATGACCACAGGCCACATATGGTTCTTCTGTGTATTCAGAAGGATAGAGTGCGGGAGCATAGCTTGTCAGGAGGGTGGCATCAGGTATTCCTCTTCAATCAGTGTTCTTGTCATAGTCACGTAGGTACAAGGAAGTGAGAGCCACATTGGAGAGGTGTGGGGTTTACCCTGGCTTAAAGCCTAATGCCCCACAGAAACAAAAATCTCTTGTAACAATCATAGCTTTCAGGGGCCACAGGGACATGCAGTTACAAGTGTCACTGCACTCAGGAAAGGCCAAAAAGCATGGCATTCCCATTAATAGCTCATAGATAGTTATCCCAGTTCAGATGGAAGTGACCAGGCAGGGGTCATGTTTACCGTAAGCCGGGTTGTCTAAGAAACACTGACGACACTCTGACACTTTCCAGGTCACACGGAGAACAGAGCTAGCGTTCAACTTAAAGTTAGAGTCTCATCTTAGGGGTAGGGGTTTGTTAACCTTTACCCATAGGCACAAAACAAAAGCCTTGCCCTTAAAGAGAGTACAGTCTACTTGTGCAGACAATATAGACACCCGAAATCCCTGGAAAGAATTGTACATCCTGAAACCTGGTCTTGGACATGAGAGCTGGAGTTCATGATCCTTGATTGGATCCTGGATTGGAAGGAAGAAAGAAAACAGCTATAAAGCATATTTTAGGGGAACTTAGGTGTGATAATGGTACCTTTTCTATGAAAGTGAGTATGGGATTTGGGTCTTTTTGAAGTTTAAACAAATTGGAAAGTAGCCAGTAAGTTGAGATGATTGATGAAGATAACCTTTGCTCTATTGGTCCTCTGGAAACGTAAAATGAATGGAATCCTTTTTCAGAGAAACCAGAATTATTTTAGCCATTTTTTTTTTTAATAACTCAAAATCAGATTTAAGTAGCATTTAAATGTATTTCTCATTTTAACAAGAGAAAAACCTCTGCTTGTCCACAATTCTGTAGCCTGCAGGGCGCTGATATTTTCTGACTGACATGGTTTGGTGGGAACTAGCCCCAAGCTCTTTCAGGGTTCTGCAGGGTGGCCCCAGCTCCTTCTTTTGTGTCTGTGGCATTTACTTTAGGTTTTGAGGATCCCGTCCTCTTCCCCAATTTGTGCTTTACAACTTCTCTAACTCTGCTTTGCAGAGGTGTGTTTAAATCTCTTATTTGCTGGTGGGGACCACCTCTAATTTCCTTCATCGTTCTAGGTCTTATTCCTTTTTATTTTCCTTTGTAATCACATTTTAATAGATTTGTGTAAGACCAAAATAAATAAATTAAATAAATAAATAAATGGCCCAGTGATCAGTCTGCTGTCTTGAACCAGATGTGTCCTCATAGTTTGGTAGAAAATTCTTGAAAACAATGACAATTTAAGCTACTTAAACAATGCTTTGTGTCTTCTATTTATGTTCTATGTTCTTTTCTTCTTCTCAAGATTCTTTTTTTTTTTTTGAGATAGAGTCTTGCTCTGTCTCCCAGGCTGGAGTGCAGTGGCACAATCTCAGCTCGCTGCAACTTCTGCCTTTCAGGTTCAAGTGATTCTCCTGCCTCAGCCTCCTGAGTTGGTGGGATTACAGGCTCCCACCATCACTCCTGGCTAATTTTTATATTTTTAGTAGAGATGGGGTTTCACCATGTTGGCCAGGCTGGTCTTGAACTCCTGACCTCAAGTGATCCACCAGCCTCGGCCTCCCAAAGTGCTGGGATTACAGGCATGAGCCACCACACCTGGCCTCAAGATTCTTTTAGGACAAAAAAAAAAAAAAAAAAAATTCTGCTAATAGTTTTTTGAAAATGGCATTTTCAATATGTGAGGAGAAATCCAGGTCTGAATGTTTGAGGGCAGAGTCTGGTATAAGAGTATTCTTAATGTTAGAAGGCCATTTAGGAACAGTGACTTAGAAATTGAAAAGTGGGCTGAAAAAGCAAGAGAGTAGTATATTTGAGGGATGGGAGAGAAAGTTGAAAAAAGGAGAGTCAAGTGGTTGCAATTTATTCCTTGTTTTTAAAAAAATGACTTCAGAAATTAAATTATTGCCTCAATAATTGCTTTTTCCTTTCTAGGATAATAGCCAAGGTTCTGGAGGACAACAAGCTGCCTGGTGCGATTTGTTCCTTGACTTGTGGTGGAGCAGATATTGGGTAGGTTATTAGGCTGAGAGCATCCTCTGTTGAAGGACCCCAGGTTCACCAACTAGAATCATCGTTACTAGAATAATGAACTCACTTTTAACTAAGGAGTTGAGAATGGTTTTTGAAATCATTATTATTATGGAGTTTGTTGGGTTCTTATTGTATTAATGCCTAACCTCTATTGGAGGATGAATAAGAATCGTCTTTTTAATTGCCCAGAGGTACTGTTTCTAAGGTGTTTATATCCTGAAATAACAAACTGCTGTAATGGGGGGCAGCCTGTGACTTCCTGACACTTGGTTTGTCAAGGTGTTTACTTACAAAGAAAGCTATGAAATTGTAGTCTGGGGTCTCACTGCCTGCCGAGAACCTAGCCTATTGTCTGAGTTTCTCAGCTGACCGAAAAAGGAAACCCTGGGAACACAGCCTCTTTTTAGTAAAATTGTTTTTTTCTTTTTAAATTGCCATATAATTCACAATTTGTATACCATAAAATCCTCTCTTTTAAAGTGTACAATATAGTGGTTTTAAAAATATTCAGGCTATTGTACAACTATCACCACTATCTTTTTCCAGAACATTTTGATGAGCCCAGAAAGTAATCCCATACCCATTGGCAGTCTCTTCCCATTCCCCCTGCTCTCATGCCCTGACAGCCACTAAAGAATTTTCTGTCTCTATGGATTTGCCTATTTGAGACATTTTGTATAAATGTAGTTATATAATATGTGGCCTTTTGTGTCTTGCTGCTTTTACTTGGCATGATACTAAGATGACGTGGACTATAATCGTGCTGAACTGGGATAAAAGCTGAGGTTCTTATCAGCTTAGACTTTGATTAGGTGAGTTTTCCAGGAGTCAAGTCTTACAACCCATACTGGTGTGGCTAAAGTGTTAGTTTCCTTGCCTTCCCACACTTTTAATATACCGTTGTACTTACTGGGCAATCTCAAAAAGGAGCAATAAGTTACTCTGTTTTTCATATTAATGAGAAAATTTTACAAAATACAACTCCCACATGTACAATGCAGAGTGAAATATTATCTAAGTGTCATTTAAAACATGAGTCGGCCTTTGACTTCTTGCATTCTGGGTATCTAGTGCTTGTGTTGGCCTTGCAATAGCTCAGATAATTATGGTGGTATATGCAAGAGCATGTTAAGCAGCAGCCACTTTGAGTAGTAGTGCTCATGCTTGCTAGGTTGAACCTCGGAAGACTGACCTAGGTAACTGAGCCAAGCCATACAGCCCTACATTAGACTGATGCTATGGCTGCCCCGCTTGGCTAACACTGGACCTTTTGTAGCACTGAACTAGGAACAGAGAGGTTCAAATCAGTAATGTCTGATTTGCATTCCTTAGAAGCAACTGGAAATCCTAGCATAGCCTTTGTAAGTCAACTTCCGTGAGGAATACTTTAGGATAGCGGTCCCCAACCTTTCTGGCACCAGGGACTGGGGCTGGTTTAGTAGAAGACAATTTTTCCATGGACCACGGCAGGGGGATGGTTTTAGGATGAAATTGTTCCATCTCAGATCATAAGGCATTAGTTAGATTCTTATAAGGAGCATGCAATCTAGATCCCTTGCATGCACAGTTCACAATAGGGTTCACACTCCTATGAAAATCTAATGCTGCCGCTGATCTGACAGGAGGTGGCGCTCAGGCAGTAATGCTCGCTGGGTCGCCTGCTGCCTACCTCCTGCTGGTTCCTAATAGGCCACACACTGGTAGTGGTCAGCATCCTGGGGCTTGGGGACCCCTGCTTTAGGATATTTCCCTACAGGCTTTTAAGTTTTAATTCTTTTATTTTTATTTTTTTGAGACAGGGTCTCACTCTGTCACCTAGGCTGGAGTGCAGTGGCTCGATCTCAGCTCACTGCAACCTCCGCCTCCCAGGTTCAAGTGATCCTCCCACCTCAGCCTCCCAAGTAGCTGGGACTACAGGCGCATGCCTGCACACCTGGCCAATTTTAGTATTTTGTGTAGAGACGGGGTTTCATCGTGTTGCCTAGGCTAGTCCTGGCCAAGTTTTAATCATTAAAGGAATTACACAGCAGTTAAAAGTCTGTAAAACTGGAATGCTCAGCAAGGAAATGCTAAGATCATATTGTCCAGTCACTCACTCAGTATAGGAAAGACTTTCTTCCCTAACAACTTCCTCTTGGTGATTTCTATTCACAGCAGGTTAGCCTCTTCTGCCATATGGTTCTACTTGTGAAAAACTTTCTTCCTTCTCCTGAAGACGTTCCCTTGCTCCCCTGGGACAGACTTTCTTGTAGCTTCGAGGGACTGCTTTTCCAAGGGCACTTCAGTGCTGGGTACCATTAGAAGTTGTCATTGCTGGGTTTCTCTGCTTGGGTGACCGACCATGTCTGTTCCCTTGCAGCACAGCAATGGCCAAAGATGAACGAGTGAACCTGCTGTCCTTCACTGGGAGCACTCAGGTGGGAAAACAGGTGGCCCTGATGGTGCAGGAGAGGTTTGGTAAGTGTTGGCTTTCTAATGAGGATTGTAATTCTCTCAAATATGGAGGTGAAATCTGAAAGTTGAGTTTTTGTTTTCCCCTCAACCTTTTCCATGGAGGCAGTGGTCATGTTTATTTGAATGTCTAAGTAAAAGAAAAGGGTACAGTTATTAGCAGTTGAATATTAGGGAAGTCTTAAATTTAAATACCAAAATTTATGAAAATATGAGCACTTTGGGAGGCCGAGGCAGGCGGATCACAAGGTCAGGAGATGAGACCATCCTGGCTAACACAGTGAAACCCCGTCTCTACTAAAAATACAAAAAATTAGCCGGGCGTGGTGGCGGGCGCCTGTGGTCCCAGCTACTCGAGAGGCTGAGGCAGGAGAATGACTTGAACCTGGGAGGTGTAGCTTGCAGTGAGCCAAGATCGCGTCACTGCACTCCAGCCTGGGTGACAGAGCGAGACTCCATCTAAAAAAAAATTTATGAAAGGAAGTCATTTTCTCTCTAAATGGGTATAATTGAATCACGTAGAATATTTATGTTTGAAATGTTTGTTTTTTCATACTGTAAAGAAATAGTATTTGAACATAAATTTATTTAGTAAGGCCATTTTTACTTCCTGTAGAAAGGGTACACTCGCCAGTAGTTTTGGCACGAGAGTACACTGGACAAAGGAGACGGGGTCATTTATAACCTGACGCGTCCACTCTACTGCTATGTCCGGTTTCCATTGGCTGGAATGGAACCTCACATTTTGTATTGGTCCCGATTGGCTAGCAACTTAGAACTTTTTAAAAGAGGCAAAGGTAGAGGAGAACAAAGGAACAGAAAGTAACTTGAGGAATGCTGAGAAAAGTAAAAACACTTTTAAATAAGGAAGAGGAACAGGCTATGACCTAATGTGTACTTGGACCAGTATAAGCATGCCAGGGCAAATATTTAGGAGCACAGGTCTTTGAATAAATTTTGCTTTTAAGAGAAGTTATTTAGTTTTAATTAGATGGGGAGGAAAGTCTTTGAAGAGGAACCTCTACTTACTTTTTACACTTATCAAATTGTACTAGTCCTGTTTGGCAAATTAAATAAGAAAAATGTCATTTCTCATTAGTATAGTGGTGAGAAAAATGTCATCATTTAAACAGGAGCACTGAGCACAGAACTTACAGTGAGTGTGGAATAGAAGGTTTAAATCTGCTCTTTCATGTATATGAATCATATATATGGATCATGGATATGGATCATGGATACATGATTGAAAAGAGTTGTATAGACGTAGCTTTGTATACTGTACTGTGCTTTATGAATGATTTCCAAGGTTTTCGAGGATAATACTGGCTATTGATTTTTGGCTGTTAGGCTGAATTTTAGACTTTTACCCCAGCATAAGACAAAATTTGACTAATCTGTCGACTGTTTAACTATGTAGGCATTGCTTTTTATTAGGCAAAGCAATTTATTAAATAACAGCTAATAAAAAAGGTCAGCAAGGTTTCAGGACTCAAGATTGAGATACAAAAATCAATTACATTTTTATGCATTAACAATGAACAATCCAAAAATGAAATCCAGAAAACAATTTAATTAGTAGTAGCATCAAAAAGAATAAAATACTTAGGAATACATTTAACAGAAGAAGTGTAAGTCTGTTGCACGGAGCACTCATCAAAATAAATTACAGATGACCTAAATAAATGAGTAGATATCCCCTTTTCAGTTTTTGGAAGATTTAATGTTGTAAAGGTATCAATGTGGTCCACATGATCTACAGATTCAATGCAATTCCTGTAAAAATCCCAGTTTTCTGTCTTGTAACAATTGACAAGTTAATCCTAAAATTAATATGACAATGCAAAGGACCCTAAAAAGCCAAAGCAATCTTGAAAAAGAAGAAAATTGAAGGACTGTCACTTCTTAGTCAAAAAATTTATGGCAAAACTATGATAATCAAGACTATGTGGCACCAGCATACGGATAGACATAAAAATCAATGGAATAGAATTGGAAGTCCAGAAATAAACTCTTGCATTTATGGTCAGTTGTGTCAAGGGTGACAAGACATTTCAATGGGGAAAGGATGGTCTTTTTAACAAATGGTACTGACACAACCAGCTGTCTATACACATGAGTGTGAAGTCAGACCCCCACTACATCTCCTATGCAAAGACAAACTCAAAATGTATCAAAGAACTTTAAAACTCTTAGAAGAAAACATAGGAATAAGTTTTCGTGACCTTGGATTAGGCGATAGTTTCTTAGAAATGACAACTAAAGCACAAGCAACAACAATTAAAAGACAAATTAGTTTTTATCAAAATTAAAGCACTTTGTGATTCAAAGGACATCAGGAAAAAGTGAAAAGAACAACCTACAGAATGGCAGAAAATGTTTGGAAGTCATTTGATAAGGAACTTGTATGTGGAATATCTAAAGAACTCTTCAAATTTAAGAATATGAAAGACAACCCAATTAAAAATGGGTATTGGATTTGAATAGACATCTTTTTTTTTTTTTCTTGAGATGGACTCTCACGCTCTGTTACCCAAGCTGGAGTGCAGTGGGGGAGATCCCGGCTCACTGCAACCTCCGCCTCCTGAGTTCAAGCGATTCTTCTGCCTCAGCCTCCCAAGTAGCTGGGACTACAGGCATGTGCCACCATGCCTAATTTTTGTATTTTTAGTAGAGACAGGGTTTCACCATATTGGCCAGGCTGGTCTCGAACTCCTGACCTCGTGATCCTCCCACCTTGGCCTCCCAAAGTGCTGGGATTACAAGCAATGAGCCACCGCACCAGGCCTAGAATAGACATCTTAAATGGCCAATTAGCACATGAAAAGATTCTCAACATCATTAGTTCCACTAGCAGATTTCATCTTCTCAGCTTTCTCCCCTTTTCCTTACTCAAGGCAGTAGTTTGTTGTTCTTGGCCAAGTAGTAGTAGTAGTAGTAGTAATAGAATTATAATTTTTAAAATGTATCTGCCTCTCTTAAGTTATAGGTGCTTTTCTTGGAGGAGTTGGTGGTTAGGAGTATAGTCAGAGAGTGCCTGATAGAGAACTGGAAGGATGTAGAAAGTATAGATCCCTTCTCTTCTGCCAAACATCACTTGCAGCCAGGCAGGAGAAGCTAATGGCAGGTGTAAAAGCTTCTGTTTCCTTCCTTCTCTTCTTAACACCTAGCATAGTGCTATGCTATAGCCAGCAAACTGTCATTAATTCAATGATTGCAGCAGAGACTAGAGATGGTGTAGCATTTGGTGGCTTTTGGTAATAACAGCCACGTCTTCATAATTAATGTTCACTTGATGCTTACCTGTTTCAGAGCAATGAAAATGAGAAGATACTCTCCTGTTGTCACATATGCTCCTGATACCACAAGTGAATAAAAGTTATTCACATGGAAGCTGATTTTAAACTGCACTTAAGGAAATTTATGGTCAAAAGATCATTAATAAATGTATGTCTGAGGCCGGGCAAGAGTTCAAGACCAGCCTGGGCTAGACTGTGAAACTCCCATCCCTACTAAAATACAAAAAAATTAGCTGGGTGTGGCGGCATGCCCAGCTACTCGGGAGGCTGAGGCAAGAGAATTGCTTGAACTCAGAGGCAGAGGTTGCAGTGAGCTGAGATTGCACTACTGCACTCCAGCCTGGGCAACAGAGTGAGAGTCTGTCTCAAAAATAAATAAATAAACATATGTCTAAAATTGAGGCAAACAAATCTCTCAGATCTTTATGCCGGGAGGAGTAAGGTAAGAATGGCATTTATAGGCCAGGTGTAGTGGCTCATATCTGTAATCCCAGCACTTTGGGAGGCCAAGGTGGGTGGATCACTGGAAGCCAGGAGTTTGAGACCAGAGCCTGGGCAACATAGTGAAAACCCATCTCTTAAAACAAAACAAGCCAGGTGTTGTGACACATGCCTGTTGTCTGAGCTACTTGGGAGGCTGAGGATGGAGGTTTGCTTGAACCCAGAAATTGAGGCTGCAGTGAGCTATGATAGCACCATTGTATTCCAGCCTGGGTGACTCTTTTTTTTTTTTTTTTTGAGACGGAGTCTCGCTCTGTAGCCCAGGCTGGAGTGCAGTGGCCGGATCTCAGCTCACTGCAAGCTCCGCCTCCCGGGTTCACGCCATTCTCCGGCCTCAGCCTCCCGAGTAGCTGGGACTACAGGCGCTGCCACCTCGCCCGGCTATTTTTTTTTTGTATTTCTTAGTAGAGACGGGGTTTCACCGTGTTAGCCAGGATGGTCTCGATCTCCTGACCTCGTGATCCGCCCATCTCGGCCTCCCAAAGTGCTGGGATTACAGGCTTGAGCCACCGCGCCCGGCCTGGGTGACTCTTAAAAAAAGAAAGAAAAAAAAATGGTGGGCTGGTTGCGGTGGCTCAAGCCTGTAATCCCAGCACTTTGGGAGGCCAAGGTGGGTGGATCACTGGAAGCCAGGAGTTTGAGACCAGAGCCTGGGCAACATAGTGAAAACCCATCTCTTAAAACAAAAAACAAAACAAAACAAAACAAAACAAAACAAAACAAAACAAGCCAGGTGTTGTGACACATGCCTGTTGTCTGAGCTACTTGGGAGGCTGAGGATGGAGGTTTGCTTGAACCCAGAAATTGAGGCTGCAGTGAGCTATGATAGCACCATTGTATTCCAGTCTGGGTGACTGTTAAAAAAAGAAAGAAAAAAAATGGTGGGCTGGTTGCGGTGGCTCAAGCCTGTAATCCTGGCACTTTGGGAGGCCGAGGTGGGCGGATCACCTGGGGTCAGGAGTTCAAGACCAGCCTGGCCAACATGGCAAAACCCTGTCTCTAATAAAAATACAAAAATGAGCTGGGCGTGATGGTGCATGCCTGTTGTCCCAGCTACTTGGGAAGCTGAGACAGGAGAATCACTTGAACTCAGGAGGCGGAGGTTTGCAGTGAGCTGAGATCACACCACTGTACTCCAACCTGGGCCACAGAGCAAGACTCCGACTGAAAGAAAAGAATGGCACTCATGGCCTGCTATATAACTTTTCTAGAATATAGGTTGGCAGTGTCTATCAAGAGTCCTAACCTAAGTAGATAATCAACAAATATATTAAACACTGGAGAAACAGCTAAATAAAATTTGGTATGTCTTCATGATGGAATGCTGTGGAGTGATTTTTCTTTTCATGACTCTTAATGACTTAGGGGAAAGGTGTAAGACATCAGGAAATAAAGTAAAATGAAATAATCTCAACTAAATATAAATTCACAGAGGAAAGATTGGAAGACACTATCAAATTGTAAGGAGAGATTTTTGTGGTGGCCTTATGGGCCATAGGTTTCTTTCTTTCTTTCTTTTTGATTGTGGGCGAAAGTCCACACAACATAAAATTTACTTTAAAATGGTTAACATGGTACACAGTTCAGTAGTGTCAAGTACATTCACATGATCATACAGCCTATCTTTAGAACTTTTTCATCTTGTAAAACTGAAACTCCATAGCCTATAAACACTAATCCCTCCTTCCCCCTACACCCAGCCCTTGGTAGCCACCCTTCTACTTCTTTCTGTTTCATTGATATGGACTATTTACATTTGAGTGGGGTTGTAAGTATTTGTCCTTTGGTGACTACCTTATTTCACTTAACATAATGTCTACAAGGTACAACCATGGAGTCTCACTCTGTTGCCAGGCTGGAATGCAGTGGTGTGATCTCAGCTCACTGCAACCTCTGCCTCCTGGGTTTGAGCAATTCTTCTGCCTCAGCCTCCCGAGTAGCTGGGATTACAGACATCCGCCACCACGCCCAGCTAATTTTTGTATTTTTAGTAGAGACTAAAATCCCAAAGTGCTGGGATTACAGCCACCGCGCCCAGCCCAACGTACAACCATCTTGTAGCATGTAGTAGGATTTCCTTTTTAAGGCTCTATGATAAGCTGGGTGTCGTGGCTCATGCCTGTAACCTTAGCACTTTGGGAGGCCAAGGTGGGAGGATCTCTTGAGCCCAGGAGTTCGAGACCAGCCTGGGCAACATGCCAAGATCCTGTCTCTGCCAAAAAAAAAAAAGTACAAAAATGAGCTGGGCATGGTGGTGCATGCCTGTTGTCCCAGCTACTTAGGAGGCTGAGGTGGGGGAATTGCTTGAGCCCAGGAAGTTGAGGCTGCAGTAAGCCATGATCGTGCCAGTATAGCCCAGCCTGGGCAACAGAATCAGACCCTGTCTCAAAAAAAAAAAAAAAATTAATAAAATAAAAATGTAAAAAGGCTGCATATTTCATTGTATTTATATACCACATTTACTTTACTAATTCATCAGATGATGCACATTTGGGTTGCTGCCACATTTTGGCTATTGTGAATTATGCTACTATGAATATTGGTGTACAAATATCTACAGAGTCCCTGCTTTTACTACCTTTGGTTATATACTCAGAAGTGGAATTACTCAATCATATGGTAATTAATTAATTAATTCATTCACTCATTTACTTACTTAGTTGAGACAGTCTCATTCTGTTGGCCCAGGCTGGAGTGCAGCGGTGTGATCACGGCTCACTGTTGTCTCAAATTCCTGGGCTTCACGAGTAGCTGGGACTATAGGCAGATACTACCATGCCCAGCTAATTTGTTTTAATTTTTGTAGAGACAGGGTCTTGCCATGTTGCCCAGGCTCTGTTGTTTAATTTTTTGGAGCAGTTGCCATACTGTTTTCTACAGTGGCTGTCCCATTTTACTTTATTTTTCTTTAATAATTTCAGACAAGACCGGGCACGTTCAGGGTGGTTTGGTTTGGCTGTAGACTTTCATGTATAATTTCAAACCTAAAATTATACAACCAACATAAGGAATTCCTGTAAACCCTGTAATCAGAGTCACTAATTGCTTACATTTTGCCCCATTTGATTTATCATTTTCTCTCTCTCCAGCAACATCTATGAGTGCGTGCGCGGGCGCACACACACACATACACACACACACACCACTCTCTGTGGGTGCATATTATTGTTGAACTGTTTGGATTAAGTCAAAGATATGTCCCCTTTATTACTAAATATTTTGGTGTATTTCCTAAGAATGTTGACATTCTCTTGTATAACCACAGTAGTTACTAAAATCAGTACATTTGATATTGATACAATAGTAATGCTACTTTATAAATCAGAAAATCTTAAGTTGAAAAATAATTGGGATAGGGTGTAATCGAGATAGGCTATATGATTGGGATAGGCTATATAAAAAATAATTGGACAGGCTATATAATTTAATACTTGGGATTAGGCTATGTAGCAGTGTGCAGTAAACATGGAACTAGGCATTGATTTTTATATATAATTTTTTTTAAAGGGAGAAGTTTGTTGGAACTTGGAGGAAACAATGCCATTATTGGTAAGGCTGCCCCTTTGTTTTTGTTTGTTTTCTGTTCAGTTTCCAAAATCACCATCCTGAATATATGAAACTTGTTTTGGATCTCATTTCTTCCATGTTGCATATGCCTGAGACCTAGTTCCTGTGTTTAGGAATTTTACTTGGGAGACAGGACACAAGCTTGGTTTGAAGGCAGAGGTAACTAAAAAGGAAAGGTATTCATGTTTAGAACATGTTACCTGGGATGATCTAGAACCTGTGAGTGAGACTTCCATTGCCATTGTAGTGTGGCATTATTTATTGTTTTTTCTTCTTCTGTTTGCTGAAAACCGGCCACATTTCTCTAGAATAACTTAAGTAACTCTTATGTAACTTGATCATTTCTTTAGATTTCAAAAACATTATTTTATCTTTAGTGGAATATTGAGTGCTTTTATATTGGTAAAGAACATGTCCCTAAGGCATTACAAAAAAATCACTTACCTATAGGCTTAGAGATTACTTAATACTCTTTTTTAACTGTTTGAGTTTGTCACAAAAATGCTTAGATATTTGTAGTTGACACACATAAGGAGTATGTGTAAGATATAAGAAGTATATGGTGAAATGTTTGTTCTGGATGAACTTTTTCTGTTGTTTTCGAGATGGAGTCTCACTCTGTCACCCAGGCTGGAGTGCAATGGTGCAATCTACAACCTCCACCTCCCAGGTTCAAGCTATTCTCCTGCCTCAGCCTTCCCAGTAGCTGGAATTACAGGTGCATGCCACCATGCCCAGCTAATTTTTGTATTTTTAGTAGAGATGGGGTTTCACCATGTTGGCCAGGATGGTCTTGAACTCCTGACCTCAGGTGATCCACCTGCCTTGGCCTCCCAAAGTGGTGGGATTACAGGCATAAGCCATCGCACCTGGCCTCTAGATGAACTTTTTTTTTTTTTTTTTTTTTTTTTGAGACGGAGTCTGGCTCTGTCACCCAGGCTGGAGTGCTGTGGCCGAATCTCAGCTCACTGCAAGCTCCGCCTCCCGGGTTCACGCCATTCTCCTGCCTCAGCCTCCCGAGTAGCTGGGACTACAGGCGCCCACCACCTCGCCCGGCTAGTTTTTTATATTTTTTAGTAGAGACAGGGTTTCACCGTGTTAGCCAGGATGGTCTCGATCTCCTGACCTCGTGATCCGCCCGTCTCGGCCTCCCAAAGTGCTGGGATTACAGGCTTGAGCCACCGCGCCCGGCCTAGATGAACTTTTAAAGAGAGACTTCAGTAAAAAATATAGTTCACATTTAGTGAGCACTAGTGTCTGCCAGGTACTGTGTTCAGCTATTTTATATGCATTATTTCATTTAATCCCTACAACAATCCTATGAAGTAAATATTGCTATTAATCTAATTTGAAGGTTATATTCTGAGACTTACAATGATTATATACCTGAAGTGACAGGATAGCAAATGACAAATGCTAGTATTTGTATCCTGGTAGCCAGACCTCAGAGCACAGTTCTTCCTTATCTACTTACTACCATCCATTATTACCCCAGGCATTATTGCCCCATTTTACAGATGAGGAAACTGAGGCTTGAAAAGTTAAAATAGGCTGAGCGTGGTGACTCACATCTGTAATCCCAGCACTTTGGAAGGCCAAGGTGGGTAGATTACTTGATCCAGGAATTTGAGAGCAGCCTGGGCAACATGGTAAAACCCCACCTGTACAAAAAATACAAAAATTACGTGGGCGTGGTGGTGCACACCTATAGTCCTAGCCACTGAGAGGCTGAGGTGGGAGGATTGCTTGAGCCCAGGAGGTCAAGGCTGTAGTGCCACCACACTCCAGCCTGGGTGACAGAGTGAGACCCCATCTTAAACAAAAAAAGAACAAACAAACCCCTGAGAAGTAAAAGATGAAGAGGCCAGAGGGGCGAGAGCCTCAATTTACCCTTCTGTGATCTGGGCAAAGATCATAGAGCTCATAATCTTCCTTGGAAGAAGAGTGTGCCTTTCCCCGTTATGTGTATATATGTCTTTGTGACATTAATATGCTTACTTTACAACAATAGTTTTGATGTTCTTTTACTGCACTTTATAAAAGCTTTTGCCGGGCATGGTGGCTCATGCCTGTAATCCCAGCACTTTGGGAGGCCAAGGTGGGTGCATCACTTGAGGTGAGGAGTTCGAGACTGGCCTGACCAACATGGTGAAACTCCATTGCTACTAAAAATACAAAAATTAGCTAAGCGTGGTGGTACATCCTTGTAATCCCAACTACTTGGGAGGCTGAGGCAGAATCTCTTGAACCCGGGAGGCGAAGGTTGCAGTGAGCCAAGATTGCGCCATTGCACTCCAGCCTGGGCAACAAGAGCAAAACTCTGTCTCAAAAAAAAAAAAAAAAAAAACCAACAAACAAACAAACAAAACAAAACCAAAACCAGAAAACAACATTGTTTTACACTAGCTAACAAATGCCTTGTCTACCTGTTTTGGTTCACTGATGGAAGTATTTGTGCTTTCCTAAGCCTTTGAAGATGCAGACCTCAGCTTAGTTGTTCCATCAGCTCTCTTCGCTGCGGTGGGAACTGCTGGCCAGAGGTGTACCACTGCGAGGCGACTGGTGAGTATATCTGCATAGGCCCGTGAGATCGTCTTGCTTTTAAAACACTACTTTTTAATGAGTTCTGCTGTTAGGGAGGTGTCAGCAATACTGCTAGAACGATGTGCTCTCTAGATGTGGCTGGCAAATATGTGGTGCAGTTCTCTTTCTGTGCTCATGGCAGATGTTGTTAATCAATCAGGGACTTTGCCTTTTTCCCACCCCAAGCTAGTAGGGGTTCTACTACCAATTGATTGGAGTTGGACTAGGAGATGAGACCTATTTTCAATCCTACTCCTAGAACAATATGGACGAAGTTCAATGTCACTTAGAGAATAAAACAGGATAAAAATAAAAAAAATTATTAAACTATAGCTAAAAATAGAGTCTTGCTCTTTTATAAAAACATTTTAAGTAGTAAACCGTGTTAAACATTTTAGGCTGGGCATAGTATCTCGAACATATAATTCTAACGCTTTGAGAGGCTGAGGCAGCAGTATTGCTTGAGCCCAGTAGTTCGAGACCAGCCTGGGCAACATAGTGATTCCCTGTCTCTACAAAAAGTTAAAAAAAATTTAGCAAGGCATGATGGCTCATGCTTGTAGTCCCAGCTACTTGGGAGGCTGAGGCAAGAGGATTGATTGAGCCCAGGAAAGGGCTCAGTGAGGCTGCAATGAGCCATGATTTGCACCACTGTACTCCAGCCTGGGCGACAGGGCAAGACTCTGTCTCTACCAATCAATCAATAAACATTTTAATTTTTAGCCTCAAGTCTAGAATTAGATTTGACTTGAAATGATATGATTCATTGAAAAGCAGATGGCTCTCTATATGTGTGATCTCTCTATATACATATATAGCCTGCATACGTATATATAGAGAGAGGACAGATTAATATGAAGTGTATATAAGGAGATGTGGTTTAGCTTCAGTGTGGGATTTAGGAAGTTTAATCTCTATACTTAGATTGAGCTGGACTTCAGTTTAGTATGTGTTACAACTTTGATTTTCATGACTTTATGGTACTAAAAGACTATACTATAAGCAAGTTTTTTGCTTTTTTAAATTTATTTATTTATTTTTTTTTATTTTTTGAGTTGGAGTCTTGCTCTGTTGCTCAGGTTGGAGTGTAGTGGCGTGATCTTGCTCACTGCAACCTCCACCTGCTGGGTTCATGCGATTCTCCTGCCTCAGCCTCCTGAGTAGCTGGGACTACAGGCATGTGCCACCCTGCCTGGCTAATTTTTGTATTTTTAGTAGAGACGAGGTTTCACCATGTTGGCCAGGCTGCTCTTGAACTCCTGACCTCAGGTGATCCACCCACCTCGGCCTCCCAAAGTGCTGGGATTACAGGTGGGAGCCACCATGCCCGGCCCTGAGGAAATTTTAGTTAGGTACAAAATTTGGCTGCATTTGCCATTTAAAAAAAATTCTTTTTAAGCTCTGTTGGACTTGAGCCTTTTTTATTATTGTTGAGGTTTCCTTTTGTAATGAAAAAGGAATAATTCAGTTGAATTATTAAGGAATTGGCTTTGGGTTTTTGTTCTCATTTATGATGAGTGTGAACAAATTATAAGACTGACATAATCTAAATTAATTAGAATAAGTTAAAAGATATGAAAATTATCTTTACCTTATACTTTTCTTGTTTTTTCTTTTTTCTCTCTTTTTTTTTGAGATGGAGTCTTTCTGTGTTGGCCAGGCTGGAGTGCAATGGTGTGATCTCAGCTCACCTCAACCTCCACCTCCCAGGTTCGAGTGATTCTCCCACCTCAGCCTACCGAGTAGCTGGGACTACAGGCACCCACCACCGTGCCTGGCTAATTTTTGTATTTTTAGCAGAGATGGGGTTTTGCCATGTTGGCCCGGCTGGTCTCAAACTCCTGACCTTGGGTGATGTGCCTGCCTTCGCCTCCCAAAGTGCTGGGATTACAGGTGTGAGCCACCACGCCCGGCCGCTCACACCTTTCATATTTGTTTTTTCAGGTGTTTTGCACAAATGAAAATAAATCTTTATTTTTACATAGCTGACATTCTCAAATAATCTGATACTGTATTTGTAACATTAAAGTTTATTAAATGTGTTCACCATAAACATTAAATTGCATTAAAGATTATATTAAAGCTAAGAAAAAACCATGTACTCCAAATGATTATACCCTTCATTACATGTTAAAATATGAAATAACACGAAAGCCAAATATTCCTCTATTCAGCCAATTTTTTTTTCGTGTGTTTTGGAGCAAATATTTATTGATGTCCTTTATATTAGTTTTAGATATTAATAGATAATATTAGTCATTGTCCAGATAGATTTCCTTAGAGTTAGCAGTATATACACATAAAAATTCCAATACTATGGACTGCTTCAAGACTAGTTCTCGGCCGGGCGCGGTGGCTCAAGCCTGTAATCCCAGCACTTTGGGAGGCCGAGACGGGCGGATCACTAGGTCGGGAGATCGAGACCATCCTGGTTAACACGGTGAAACCCCGTCTCTACTAAAAAATACAAAAAACTAGCCGGGCGAGGTGGTGGGCGCCTGTAGTCCCAGCTACTCGGGAGGCTGAGGCAGGAGAATGGCGTGAACCCGGGAGGCGGAGCTTGCAGTGAGCTGAGATCCGGCCACTGCACTCCAGCCTGGGTGACAGCGCGAGACTCCGTCTCAAAAAAAAAAAAAAAAAAAAAAAAAAAGACTAGTTCTTATAATGTCAATTCATTCATCACATGGAGACTGACCCAGAGCATAGATAGTTTGGCAAGTTCAGCTCTGCCACTTGCAGCATAGCACGGACCTCACAACTACCCAGAGAACGCAAGGCTTGTCCTCACCTAATTAAGGCCTGGGGCCGAGTGTTTGTAGTTACCCAGCAGAGGTCAGTTATGACTGTGCTCTGTATTCACTGGGACTTAGGGTTATAGTATGGGACAGATGTACTTGAGGCCTTCTTTAATGTATTTGTGAAGCTTAGCCAAATACATCCTTGGAAACTTGATGAAGACATGGCTTATGGACTGGGTGCAGTGACTCACACCTGTTATCCCAGCACTTTGAGAGACCGAGGTGGGTGGATCACCTGAGGTCATGAGTTCAAGACCAGCCTGGCCAACATGGCAAAAACCCATCTCTACTAAAAATACAAAAAATTAGATAGGTGTGGTGGTGGGTGCCTGTAATTCCAGCAACTTGGGAGGTTGAGGTATAAGAATCGCTTGAACCTGGGAGGTGGAGGTTGCAGTGAGCCGAGATCACGCCACTGTCCTCCAGCCTGGGTGACAGAGTGAGACTCTGTCTCAAAAAAAAAAAAAAAAGGGCTTATGATTTTTTTATTCTAATATCTACCTAAAAGGAAATTTTTAACTTCATATAGTTAATATTAAAATGAGAAATTATGTAATTAAAAAAATAAACATGCTTTGATTTGCTTATATTTTTAGAGATTACAGTATTTCAGTAACTATCAAGAAAAGTATTCATTGTTTAAAAATGTGTACATTTATCATACTATGCCCTTGAATATCTCTTTTTTCGCTTAGTTTGTACATGAAAGTATCCATGATGAGGTTGTAAACAGACTTAAAAAGGCCTATGCACAGATCCGAGTTGGGAACCCATGGGACTGTGAGTATGTCCTTCTGTTTTCAAAGCGATCCTTTTTTGAGAGCTGTTGTTAACAAGTGTTTCTGGTCTGAGGTTTGGAGTTTCTTTCCGTTTCCTGAGAGGCCTGAAGGCACGTGAAGCAGGTTATTAGGATTTGGGGTATTGTGTCTGCTCCTAGGTGTCGACCCTGGGTGCTTGGTGTGGGCTAGTGGGTGAGACTGGGAGAGTTTGTTTAGGTGGAATGAGATTTAGTGCACTTCTCTCTCATTACTATTACCCTTGTCCAAGCTGACACCAACCCTCTTGTGGAAGGCTGCAAGAATCCCCTAACTGACCTTTCTGCATCCATTGCTACAGAGTGATTTTTAAAATGCAATCATCACTCTCCTGCTTAAAATACTCCTCAGTAACTTCTCATTGCTTTTAGATTTTTTTTCTTTTTTTTTTTTTGAGACACAGTTTCACTCTGTTACCCAGGCTGGAGTGCAGTGGTTTGATCTCGGCTCACTGCAACCTCCGCCTTCTGGGTTCAAGCAATTCTCCTGCCTCAGCCTCCCGAATAGCTGGGATTACAGGTGCATTCCACCACGCCTGACTGATTTTCGTAATTTTTAGTAGAGACAGGGTTTTGCCATGTTGGCCAGGCTGGTCTCAAACTCCTGACCTCAAGCAATCTGCCTGCCTCGGCCTCCCAAAGTGCTAGGATTACAGGTGTGAGCCATTGCACCAGGCCTGCTTTTAGATTAAAACCTAGAGTCCTCTTGATTTCTTCTTTTTTCAGGCTCCCGATCCTTCCTGGTCTGCTCTCTGCCTCCTGCCCTGCTTGCCTTCTCACCAACCTTTCTGTGTCCATTTTCCCTCTTGCTCCCAGAGCTCCACCTTCTCCAACATCCTTTCAGTGTTCCAGGCATGCCAGGCTCTGTCCTGCTGTGCTGTCTGCTGGAAACATTCTTCACCCAGAGTGGGGATGGCTCTGCTAACATGCCTCCTCCTCATAGAGGACTACGTACATCTTCCTTCTTCCTCTGTCGCTGGGTCACTGTCAGTGCTCTAGTCTCCAGCAGCCATAACATAGGACAGCATCATTCTCTTCCCCCTTGAATTACACACCAACTACTGAGACTGTGATGTTTCCTTAGAGAATGGTCACACCGTAATGAGTAAACTGACCCTATATTTTGAGTGCAGTACTTTGAGGAATTGATAGCCATTCTTTAAGCTAGAGGTTGGCAAACAGAATTGGCCCTGCCTGTTTCTGTAAAAAAAAAGTTTCTTGGCACATAGACATACCCTTTCATTTGCATGTCATTTGTGGCTGCTTTTGCACTACAATCATGGAGTTGAGTATTGGGATGGAGATCACGTATGTCCTCCAAAGCATAAAATATTTACCATCTGGTTCTTTATGGAAAAAGGATGCTGACTTATGTTCTCAATTGAGAGCATACAGGAAGGGATCGGTCTGTTCATTGAGAAAGCTGTTCTAATAATAAAATGATGCCATAAAGGGCAAAATGCTGAGCCAGCCTTCCTCTTCTCTCTCCAGCTAATGTTCTCTATGGGCCACTCCACACCAAGCAGGCAGTGAGCATGTTTCTTGGAGCAGTGGAAGAAGCAAAGAAAGAAGGTGGCACAGTGGTCTATGGGGGCAAGGTAAGGGATGCTCTGAGATCAGTTGTGACAGCTTTTTAACCTTTTCCTTGAGACACAAGCAGGGCTCTGGGCATATTGGGAAAGTGACCCCATTTGATATCCTCTTCTACCGTCTTTGTTCATATATTATTATAAAACACGGATATACATGTTTTTGTTTGTCTGCTTTTGAGACAGAGTCTTACTCTGTTGCCCATGATGGAGTGCAGTGGCACGATACTGGCCTCAAGTGATCCACCCATCTTGGCCTCCCAAGGTGCTGGGATTACAGGCATGAGCCACCACACTTGGCTCTGTTTGTTTTTGTGACAGGGTCTTGCTCTGCTGACCAGGCTGGAGTGCAGTGGTGCGCCATCTCAGCTCACTGCAACCTCTGCTTCCCAGGCTAAAGCAATCATCCCACCTCAGGCTCCTGAGTCTTGCTCTGTTGCCCAGACTGGGGTGCAGTGGCGTGATCTTAGCTCACTGCAACCTCCACCTCCCAGGTTCAAGTGATTCTCCTGTCTCAGCCTCCCGAGTAGCTGGGATCACAGGCACCTGTTACCATGCCTAGCTAATTTTTGTATTTTTAGTAGAGAAGGGGTTTCACCATGTTGGCCAGGCTGGTCTAGAACTCCTGACTTTGTGATCCACTCGCCTTGGCCTCCCAAAGTGCTGGGATTACAGGCACGAGTCACTGTGCCCGGCCAGAAATACATGTTTTAAAGAATGACAACAGTGCTTACTCTGGCAGTAGATATACTAAAATTGGAATGATACAGAGAAGATTAGCATGGCCTATGCACGAGGATGATATGCAAATTCGTGAAACATTCCATATTAAAAAAAAAAGACAACAGAAAATGCATGGGACATTTCTGGAAGGACGTATAAGAAACTGAGTCATGGTTGCTTTTGAATTGGGTCCCTAAATATTTGTATGGAAAGCAGAATTCCTTTTCATAGTACAGTAGGAGTCTTTGTATTCAGAGCAGTTACAATCTATTTATTCGTTATTTTTAAAAGTCAGTTAAGGCACAGAATAAAAAAATGCATATCATAAGCATTAAAAAAGAAATTGACACAGATTGCAGTGGCTCATACCTGCAGTCTCAGCACTTTGGGAGGACTGCTTGAGGCCAGGAGTTCAAGACCCACCTGGACAATATAGTGAGACCCTGTCTCAAAAAAAAAAATTAGCTGAGTATGGTGGCATGCACGTGTAGTGCTAGCTACATGGGAGGCTGAGGTGAGAGGATTGCTTGAGCCCACAAGTTTGAGGCTGCAGTGAGTCGTGATGACATCACTGCACTGCAGCCTGGGCAACAAAGCAAGACCAAATCAAAAACAAAAAAACAAACTAAAAAAAAAAAAAACAAATCAAAAACAAAACCCCCCCTAAATAAAAAGATTTGTTTGTGGCCGGGCATGTTGACTCATTCCTGTAATCCCAGCACTCTGGGAGACTGAGGCAGGTAGATCACTTGAGGTCAGGAGTTCAAGAGCAGCCTGGCCAAAATGGTGAAACCTGGTCTCTACTAAAAATACAAAAAAAACTTAGCTGGGCATGCTGGTGCGTGCCTGTAGTCCCAGTTACTTGGGAGGCTGAGGTGGGAAGATAGCTTGAACCGGGGAGACAGAGGTTGCAGTGAGCCAAGATCAAGCCATTACACTCCAGGCTGAGTGAAAATAACTGCTTCCAACAGTGTTTGTTCAACATAACTTGGTTGTGTCACATGGCATGGCTCTCCATCCCTTCCTGACTCTTTATTTCCATTTTTCTTTGACCAACTAAGTTAGAACCATTGTCAGGAAGAGAGAATTTTCTTTCATGATTGGAATTTATTTTGGAGAAATAATTCACCTATAAATGATGCTAATTTTTTTCTTTATAAGTGTGGGCAAAGATTGCATTCTCTGACCCCAAATCCTAGACAACAAAATGCTTTCATTCTTTTTATTTCATTTCTTTGCATTAGGTTATGGATCGCCCTGGAAATTATGTAGAACCGACAATTGTGACAGGTCTTGCCCACGATGCGTCCATTGCACACACAGAGACTTTTGCCCCGATTCTCTATGTCTTTAAATTCAAGGTAAAAATGCCTTCTGTTCGCTAGTCTAATGTTGAAATAAATGATAAGAGGAAAATTATGGTGGATTAAATTTCACTTGATGAGCCTTTAAGAGGGTTTTAGAAAGTAATCTGAATAGTAGATATATGAAGGTTCAGGATAAAATATGAGATAAACACTTTAAAACTCTATAGCATGCCAAGCTAGCTGCCAGGGAAACCAGGTTGGGTAATGCACTAGTGTTGGAGTTTATGGAGTATGTAGTCATCATTTCTTGTGTCATCTTAATTCTGGGCTGTGTAGGCCATAGAGTCACCTTCTCCTGAACCATGGTACTGGATGGTTTGACAGACTGAGTGCTATGAACATGTCAGCAGACAAAATGAGATGTGGAGGTAATCTAAAGTTGGCCGGGCACGGTGGCTCATGCCTGTAATCCCAGCACTTTGGGAGGGTGAGGCAGGCGGATCACCTGAGGTCAGGAGTTCGAGACCAGCCTGGCCAATGTGGTGAAACCCCATCTCTACTAAAAAATAAAAAAGCCAGGCATAGTGAGGGGCGCCTGTCATCTGTAATGCCAGCTACCTGAGAGGCTGAGGCAGGAGAATCACTTAAACCCGGGAGGCTGAGATTGCAGTGAGCCAAGATCACACCATTGCACTTCAGCCTGGGCAACAGAGCGAGACTCCGTCTTAAAAAAAAAACAAACAAAAGACCTATAGTTATAAACTCCATCAGAGGATAGGCTGCGGAGTTTTGTTTTGTTTTCCCTGCTCTCATATCTTGATCTCAAACTATAGAGGTTTTAATAGGTGAGGAAGCTGGGCACAATGGCTCATGCTTGTAATCTCAGTGCTTTAGGAGGATCACTTGAGGCCAGGTGCTCAAGACCAGCCTACGCAACACAGGGAGACCTTGTCTCTACAAAAAATTAAAAAATTAGCCAGGTGTGGTATGTACCTGTAATCCTAGCTACTCGGGAGGCTGAGGTGGGAAGAGATCCTGTCTCTAAAACAAATAAACAAAACCCAAAAAAACCAACACAGGTGAATAAATTAGAAGATCTCATTCCCTAGCTTGAGACAGGCCCTAGCCTTGCCAGTAAATATTTAGGAGTAATTTTGAGACTGCAGAGAGATTGAATCAAGATTTGAATGTACCATTATTAACAGTTAAAGAATAGTGAGAATTGCATCTTGTTGCAATTACATGATTGCATTTCTTTATTTCTTGCTTTAAATTGCCTATCGTTTCACATATGGGGACTAGAGAATATAATTTTGTGTTTTGTAATGTGTTTGTGTACATTATGAGGCTGTGTGAGCTCTTGAGCAAATTAGCCTCTCTTGGCCTCAGTTGCCCAATCTGTAAATTGGGAGGTAGTAGGAAACCTATGTTATAGGATGAGGATTAAATAACTAAATGCATGTTAAGTGCTTAGATCAGTGTGTTACACACATAAGAGCTCAATAGATATTAACTATTATATGTAGTAGCTTGAATGAAAGGAAGAATGTGTTAATATTTGTTTCTCAAATTATAATTAGGGGAAAAAAATCCCCAAAAGTTTTACTTATTATCAATGATCTGAATTATAAGAGAAACAGTTAGTAAACATGACTCTTTGGTTTCCTTTTTTTTGTATACTAAAATTATACGGGTGCATCTCAGGAAATGAGTTTTGTCAGTGAACTTTTGACCTGAACACTGTAACATCTAACAGCTTCCAATGTCTCTCCTTTTAGAATGAAGAAGAGGTCTTTGCATGGAATAATGAAGTAAAACAGGGACTTTCAAGTAGCATCTTTACCAAAGATCTGGGCAGAATCTTCCGCTGGCTTGGGTACAACTTTCTCTATTTTGAAAATTTATATAAGTCTGATTGATGTGGTGAATGGACTTAAGCCATTGTAGTTGAAAATCAATTTTTCAGTATTGAAAGCCTTTGAGCTTTGGTTTAGATTTTTTATTTATTTTTGTTTGTTTTTAATTTCCTGTTCATTGCTCTCACCATGCCTCCCGTTTTACACAGACCTAAAGGATCAGACTGTGGCATTGTAAATGTCAACATTCCAACAAGTGGGGCTGAGATTGGAGGTGCCTTTGGTATGTAGAGAATCATTTCTCCTTTTCCATGTTGGGCAGCAAAGAAAAGCCAGTAGTAGCTTTTAGAAAAGGTTGACCACGAGACTGAAACACTCCTTATATTCTGAAATAACCTAATATGATCTAACATGCCTGAAAAAGCTTACATTCTGTATTCAAAGTTATCGCATAGAGTCCTGCGCCATCTCCTCAGAGGCAGCATCACGTTAGAGGAGAGGCCCTTAACCTGAAATGTGTGAACCCCTGAAATGGTGGCATTTGTTTTCTGGGGAGAAGTTTGCAGACCCAAAAAAGCTTAAGAATCCCTATTTTACATGAAATAATCTGGTTTTTATTTGCAGAGTAGGCATATAAATGTTAAACATACTCTTTTTCACTAGATAGAATACTAAGTTGTTTCTTTTCACTGGGCTCTGCTCCTGTTTCCTCTTAATAAGTCATGCATTATTAATGATGAAACTGGGTAGTAGTTTTTCCTAAAAACCTCTCCCTAACCCTTGTATGTTCAGTATTATTTATTAAATATGATCCAAAGTAAAATAAATTGCTTTTTTTAAAAAAATATAGAAGCAAAACAAACATTCATTAATACTTGTAAAAGTTTATATCATTAGTAGCATTCTTTTGTATTTTTAGACCAAATACTACAATTACTATTTGATGCACGGACTCTGACAAAAGACCGCTGTTTTCAGTTCACCCCTTACGCCTGGGCTGCACTGTGCGGTTGCCTGAATGCATGAGTGTCTATCTTTTCCCTGTTTCCAACCCATGCCTGCTCTCTCAAACTGACTATTCCTTTTTTTTTTTTTTTTTTTGAGTTGGGGGCTTGTTCTGTTGCCCAGGCTAGAGTGCAGTGGCACAATCACAGCTCACTGCAGCCTCCACCTCCCAGGCTCAAGCAATCCTCTTGCCTCAGCCTCATGAATAGCTGAGATTACAGGCATGTGCCTCCACACCCAGCTAATTAAAATTTTTTTTTTTTTTTTAGAAATAGGCCCTCACTATTGTTACCCAGGCTGGTCTCAAACTCCTGGGCTCAAGCCATTCACCTGCCTTGGCTTCCCAAAGTGTTGGGATTACAGGCATGAGCCACCGTACCCAGTCAATTGAGTATTCTTCAGTTAAGCTTTTATAGTTAATTTTTAAAGTTCTGGTGGCCACTCACACTGGCTTATGCCTGGAATCCCCGCACTTTGGGAGGCAGAGGCGGGCGGATCGCTTGAGCTTAGAAGTTCAAGACCAACCTGCGCAACATGGCAAAAACTCGTCTCTACAAAAAATACAAAAATTAGGCATAGTGGTGTGTGCCTGTAGTCCCAGCTACTTGGGAGGCTGAGGTGGGAGGATCTCTTGAGTCTGGGAGGTGGAGCTTGCAGTGAGCCAAGATGGTGCCATTGCACTCATGCCTGGATGACAGAGTGAGACCCTGTCTTCCCCAAAAAAAAAAAAAAAAAAAAAAGTTTTAGGCTGGGCGTGGTAGCTCATGCCTGTAATTGTTTAAGCCCAAGAGTTTGAGATGAACCTGGGCAACATAGTAGGACCCTGTCTCTACAAAAAATAAAAAAAACTAGCCAGGTATGGTGGCACACACCTGTATTCCCAGCTTCTCGTGAGTCTGAGGTTCAAGGCTCGCTTAAGCCCAAGAGTTTGAGGCTGCAATAAACCATGATCCCACCACTGCACTTCAGCTCGGGTGACAGAGTGAGTTTGACCCTGTCTCTAAATAAATAAAAGTTTTGAAGAAGTATTATAATGGAAAAAGGAGTTTTGCCCATACTTTTCTTCTCCTCCTTTCCCAGAGGCTACATTGAGATTCTTTTTGTTTTTTTTTTTTGAGATGGGGTCTTGCTCTGTTGCCCATGCTGGAGTGCAGCGGTGCAATCTTGCTTGCTACAACCTCCACCTCCCCAGTTCAAGCAATTCTCCCACCTCAGCCTCCTGAGTAGCTGGGATTACAGGCGCACGCCACCATGCCTGGCTAATTTTTGTTTTTTTTTTTTAGTAGAGATGGGGTTTCACCATGTTGGCCAGGCTGGTCTTGAACTCCTGACCTTGTGATCCACCTGCCTTGGCCTCCCAAAGTGCTGAGAATACAGCTGTGAGCCACTGTACCTGGCTGAGATTCTTTTTTACTAAAAGAAAAAAGCAAATTTACCTTTGAATTGATGTCAGCTTTTCTAAATAGTATGCTTTCACTGCTATCTCCTGACAGCTTCAGACATTATGTATTGACCCTCTATTATGATAGAGGTTTCTGTCCAGGAGTAGGTGGGAGTCAACTAGTAGGAGAAAGAAGAAGAAGCTGTTCTTTTCATTTTCTTCTTGGATGCACTGAGGACTCTTGCAGACTGAAGAAGCAGTAGAAAACAGAGGCAGGGAGGGCCCTGCAGGCCTGGCTAGCAAGCAGAGGGTAGTGGGGTACCAGCTCTCAGAATAGTGAGCATGGTCCTTGAAAGTGGATTAGTTCATTCACCCAGCATGCGCATAGCTGGATAGGGAGTCTTTTGGGAGATTTTGACTAGGACTTATTTCTTCTACTTTTTTTTTTTTTGAGACGGAGTCTTGCTCTGTCCCCCGGGCTGGAGTGCAGTGGTTCGATCTCGGCTCACTGCATGCTCCGCCTCCTGGGTTCACGCCATTCTCCTGCCTCAGCCTCCTGATTCTTCTACTTTTATTTGCTCTCCCCCTACTCCCTCCCTGCCCACCTTGGGTAGAAATAGCTTTTATTCAAGTGCAATAAAAGAGTTCGTTGAGGAAGACCCATGGGGTGTTATCTTATAGAAAGAGCACTGGGTGAGGAACAAAGAGATACCATCCCAGTCCCATTTACTGCTGTCACTAGCTCTGGAACCTCAGGCAGGTGCTCAGCCTTGGTTCCTTACAGCCTCTGTGACTCTGTTCCTGCCAGGAATTTCAGAGGCGCTGTTAGCTGTGGCTTGTTTTAGCTTCCCATTCTTTGAAGTCAGTTATGTCTCTTTTTACTTTGCTTGTGCATTTGAGAACTAGAAGGGCAAACATTCAGCTGTGATTTTTCTGGAACCCATTTAATGGAGATTCTTTTCCTTTCATGAGAAAGACCAGGTGACTAGTTGGTTTTATTATAGAGAAGCTTTTATTTCAAAATTATTATATTTTCTTAATGTATTTCGATCAAACGGGAATATCTGTGTTTTTCCTGATAATTTAATACAAGTTATTGAGCGAGATAAAGAAGACAGTTACAGCTCCCATATTCTTGCGTGCTGCTCAAAAGAAAAACTATGAATAACATGTATGGGCCAGGCGCAGTGGGGTTACAGGCATGCGCCACCATGCCTGGCAAATGGATTTTTTTTGTTGTTGTTTACGGTTTGTTTCTGATATGTTTCCATTTCCTCTTAATTCCGTATATTTTATTTTCCCTCTTAATTCCTTTTTTTCTGTTTGTTTTGGTCTCTTGGTGTCTGTCTTTGATTTATTTGTTTGCAGGGGAGATATTGTGGGCTAAATGTAAAGTGAATAATCAGGTTGTTCTGGTGTCCTTTGGGTATCTTCTTTTCAATGATACCAACTATGAGCCCACACGGAAACTGCTCAAATGATATTTTTTATTTCTCTAGGAGGAGAAAAGCACACTGGTGGTGGCAGGGAGTCTGGCAGTGATGCCTGGAAGCACTACATGAGAAGGTCTACTTGGTAAGAAATGGCTTTGGGAAGATAGGTTTGGGCTTAAAGCCTTTGGGAATGTGCTTTTACACTCTTCTACTGTCTGTGCTGTCTTTGTGCAGTGTCATTTGATTTGATTTCTCCAGCATGCCACAGCTGTCTCCTCCGAGTATCTATTTGGTACTATTTTTCTAGCTTTCTTATCTAGCTTCAGTTAGTGCCCAGCACCCAACAATGAAATGGTCTCGTGCGTGGTTTCTGTATTTTTAGTAAAGATGGGATTTCTCCGTGTTGGCCAGGCTGGTCTCGAACTCCCGACCTCAGGTGATCCACCCGCCTCGGCCTCCCAGTGTGCTGAGATTACAGGCGTGAGCCACAGCACCCGGCTAATTTTTGTATTTTTAGTAGAGATGGGGTTTCACCATGTTGGCCAGGCTGTTGTCGAACTCCTGACCTCAGGTGATCTGCCTGCCTTGGCCTCTCAAAGTGCTGGGATTACAGGCGTGAGTCACCATGCTGGGCTGTTTCTTGCACTTTTGATGGCACACTTTTTTTTTTTTTTGAGATGGAGACTTGCTCTGTCACCCAGGCTGGAGTGCAGTGGCCTGATCTCAGCTCACTGCAGCCTCAGCTCTGCCTCCCAGATTCCAGCGATTCTCCTGCCTCAGCCTCCCAACTAGCTGTGATTGCAGGCATGCACCACCACGCGTGGCTAATTTTTGCATTTTTTAGTAGAGACCGGGTTTCACCATGTTGGCCAGGCTGGTCTTGAACTCCTGACCTCAGGTGATCCATACCTGCAGTGGCTCATGCCTGTAATCCAAGCAGTTCGGGAGGCCGAGGCATGTGGATCATTTGAGGTCAGGAGTTCAAGACCAGCCTGGCCAACATGGTGAAACCCCGTCTCTACTAAAAATACAAAAATTAGCTGGTCGTGATGGCGGGTGCTTATAATCCCAGCTAATCGGGAGGCTGAGGCAGGAGAATGGCTTGAGCCTGGGAGGCAGAGGTTGCAGTGAGCCGAGATCATGCCATTGCACTCCAGTCTGGGCAACAGAGTGAGACCCTGTCTCAAAACAAAACAAAACAAAACAAAACAAACAAACCAAAAAACCAACCAACAAAAAACCATGTGTGATATTTGTCTTTCCAGATTTTTATGTTTCTCTCTTTTTTCTTTTAAATAAAATGAGACCAATACTAACATTGTCTTTTATCTTAAAGGTTTGTCTTAAAAAGTTGTAACTTGGAGATCTTACCTTGTTAAAATATACAGATCTGCTATGTTTTAAAAGTGGGCATGAAAATCTTCTGTTATGTATGTACTATCATTAATTCTGTTCATTTTTTCCCACTAGTACTATCAACTACAGTAAAGACCTTCCTCTGGCCCAAGGAATCAAGTTTCAGTAAAGGTGTTTTAGATGAACATTCCTTAATTTGAAGTTTTCCGGCAGCTGTTTTTGAAGAAGACAAAGAATATTAAAGTTTTCCCTGAATAAAGGCATCACCATGACTGTGACAGTGACTAATCCCCCTATGACCCCAAGGCCCTGATTAAATCAAGAGACCCCTTTTTTTAAAATCAAAATAAAATTGTTACAACATAGTCATATTTACTAACAGATGGGTTAGATGGATTTTTATGTCAACTAGTTGTACATGGCTTTTTAGAAGTTAATGATTATTTTGTAATTAGAAAAAAGAGTACATACCAGGGTAGGAATTTGGGAAAATACAGAACAGAGGAGAAAACAGAAGTCTTTGCAGTAGATACAGGGTGTCTCCTGACCAAGCAAAGGATTCGGTGGGGGAATATTGCTTGACATTACCCACCTATGGCATGCATTGGATGGCGTGTGATTGAAAGGGAGATGCATTCCCTTATATGCTTGGACCATAGTTCAGTATTCATGTGGAATAACTTGCAGTGCTTAAAATGACAACAGGCATTCATCACAGTCGTGGCTCTTGCTTATGAAGGCTGTGTCAACCTGGAAGAGATTTGTGGGGTAGACAAAGATTTTGTTCCTGTGTTGGAGTCTTTCACCTGCTGGAGGACTCTGAGGCCAAAACTGCCTGAGCAGAATTGTATACAAAGTGCATCTGGAGGCTGGGCGAGGTGGCTTACGCCTATAATCCCAGCACTTTGAGAGGCTGAGGCAGGTGGATCACTAGAGGATAGGAGTTTGAGACCAGCCTGGCCGATATGGTGAAACTCCTTCTTTACCAAAAAATACAAAAATTAGCCTGGTGTGGTGGTGGGCGCCTGTAATCCCAGCTATTTGGGAGGCTGAGGCAGGAGAATTGTGTGAACCCAGGAGGCGGAGGTTGCAGTGAGCCTAGATTGCGCCACTGCACTCCAACCTGGACAACAGTGAGATCCTGTCTCCAAAAAAAAAAAAAAAGTGCATCTGGATTTTTTAATACAACCTTAGACCATTTTCTTTAGCTTTAGGTGTCTGCAGTTGCCCTTGGATCTGTTCTCAATCCTCAGTGTGTGTGGCAGCGTGTGGTCATAGAGAGCTGGGCAAAGTTCACTTTCTCTTTGCTGACAGTCTTACCTCTTCTCATTAGGAAGCTGCACAGGAGTCTTTGGGATGGTTCAGTCCAGAGGCCCCTGTTCTCCTTTCTTCCTGGCACTCTCTGATCCCCCTCTGCATGGTACCCCTCTACTCCTGCCAGGTTGGACTGGAACAGAGACCTTTGAACAAGATGACATTTGTAGACAACCTGATCCATCAGGATGTGGAGATTTGGATAAATGGCAAATAATTTGGGGTTAAATTATGGCCCAGAGTAGTAAGCAAATGAAAAACTAAACAATTGTAAATGTATCTGGGAAGCAAAGGTGTTCATAATATGTCCCATGGCCAGCTGCGAGTAGTATTTAACTAGACATGCTGTTGTCAAAATTGAACATGAATCAAGCCAAATGCTAATGATACAGCTATTGAGAGAAGGTTGGCAGGAAGAAATCATGGGTGAAGGTAGGTGGGAGTGCTAATCTTAGCTATAGGTTTTAGGTAAAACTGATTCTGAAAGCTTTCTTTGAAACAATTTTATAATTTTTTTCTACGTGTTTCTAACACAAGGACTTAGTTTTTTTTGGTTATAATGTTCATTAAAACACATGCCTTCAATTTGTTCCTCTTTGTACTTTTTTGCTGATTTAGCAGATATAAATCACTTGTTAGTATTTTTAACTACCCAAGTTAAAATGTACATTTGTGTTATTACTGGTCTTATATTTGAAGGTGCGAGGGGTCTTGTGCTGCTCGTTACTGGTTATATTGAGTATTTCATAACTGCTACCTCCTCCTAAATCCTGTATTCCAACCGCCACTGCTGACAATGCCCAGCCTCCATTGTGGATGTGGGGAATTGTGTTAGCATGCTTGCTTCTGCCACGGCACTAAAGCCTAACTTGCTTAGGATCTTGCTGTACTTGGAGAGAGCATCCAGTCGCTGAGCCTAGCAGCCAGGCTCTTGTGACTCCCTGGGAAGTGGGTGAAGACCTAGCTCCTGGCTGCAGCATTGGGGAGGCAGGCCCTCCAGATGAAGACTTCTCACAATGGAGGGGAGGCAGTTTTCTCAAAGGAAATTGAGTGCTATTACGTACTCCGCTTCCCACTTTCTCTTTCAGGGTGGGAATCTGTTAAGCCTCCTCTCTCTCTCCTGCTCTGCAACCACAGAACACTTTTTTTTTTTTTTTTTTTTTTGGGTGTCTCAGTTTTGCCCACACTGGAGTGCAGTGGTGCAATAGTGGCTCATTGCAGCCTCCAACTCCTGGGCTCAATCTATCCTTCCACCTCATGCTCCCCCATAGCTGGGACTACAGGTGCATGCCACTGTGCCCAGCTAATGATTCTTTTGGTAAAGATTGGGTCGTACTACATTGCTCATGCTAGTCTTGAACTCGTGGCCTCAAGCGATCTTCCCGCCTCAACCTCTTGAGTTATTGGGATTACAGGAGTGCGCTACCATGCCCAGCTCTCTGGAAAATTCTCTGTGGCATTCTGTCTCCTGAAAGTGCTGAAGGGACGAAAAGGGCTCAGTGTCCTTCTTCTCTTCCCTGGCACTTTCAGACCATTTTCCTGTTGCCTTCATTCTAACAAAGGTTGCAGATTGGAAAGCTGATTTGGAATGTTTTTTAAGTGTTTTCAGTTTCAATATTTGTATGAAATTCCTATGGTCTCCAACACACTCATTTATTTTTATTATTATTTTTTTTACACCCGACTTGATTCACTTGCTTACCTTGAATCCCTTATTAAGGTCTCTGGAGACATGCAATGGTGACCATTTCTGCAATTTCTACCCTCTGTGCACTTACCTCCCCTTCCACATAATGACTCGTTTCATTTTACTTGTGCTATTTGTTGGTCTTAACATTTTAAAAGAGGAGGTGTGAAGAGATTAGATGCAGGTGGCTGCCATTAATCTTCAGTCCCAAAAACTGTACATGTTGATGTACCAGAGTTTTAGGTTTTTCATATAATAAAATATATGATCTTTTATAGTTTTTCCAATTTAAGTTTTGAAAGTTAGGTTACAAATATATCTCTTTTTGCTTTTTCTTTATTGTGAGGTGTATTTTTAAAGATCAAAGTAATACTTGCTTGCAGTTAAAAATTCAAATGGGGCCAGGTACAGTGGCTCACGCCTGTAATCCCAGCACTTTGAGAGGCTGAGATGGGCAGATTGCTTGAGCCCAGGAGTTCGAGGCCAGCCTGGGCAACATGGTGAAACCCTGTCTCTACAGAAAATACAAAAATTAGCCGAGTGCAGTGGTGATCACCTGCAGTCCCAACTGTTCGTGAGTCTGAGGTGGGAGGATTGCTGGAGCCCAGGAGGTCAAGGCTGCAGTAAGCCGTGATCATGCCATTACACTTCAGCCTGGGCAACAGAGTAAGACCCTGTCTTTAAAAAAAAAAAAATTCTAATGGGGCTAGAATGCTTATAATAAAAACTAGCAGCTCACTTTCCCACTCTACCCAACTCCTGATTCCATTCCACAATAACCACTTTTCTACTGTTGACTTTTCTAATTTTCTCTTATTTACCTATATATTTCTAGTTGTGCAACCATCACCACTGTCTAGTTCCATCCAAAACATTGCCATCCCCCCCAAAAATCTTGTACCTATTAAGCAGTCATTCCCCACTCCCCCCACCCCCCCAGGCCCCGGCCACCATTGATTCTGCTTTCTGTCTCTATGGACTTGCCTATTCTGGATATTTCATATAAACAGAAATCTCTTACTAATTTCCAAACAGTTGGATGATCTGTATCACATGCCTATCGTTAATATTTTCCAGTTACTTGGTGTCAGTTTCAGTCTTTGTTTTGCTTGCCTTTTTTTCCTGGCATTGACTCCCCAAGGGCCTTTTGTCCCCCTGCTCCCATGCGGCCGCTCTCTAGGGCAGCTGCACAGGTGTCATCCTTGGACTCCACTTTGCTGCTCTTCTATGTTACAGTCTCTTGTTCACTGGATCCTGTTTTTCTCTTTATTGCTTTATGCTCTTCTTTTGCTGGAGCCTATCCTACAGAAGCTTCCTGCCAATGATTGTTTTGGAGGAAATTAAAAGAAAACCAAACCAAATCTCTCCTATCCAAGGGGAAGAACTTTATCCCCATATTAATTGAATATAGGATTCGAGATTTAAAATGTTGGTGGCAGTTAGAGTTTGCTCTTTTTTTTTCTATTGGAAAGGTCCACAAATGTTTTGTTGACATTTTTGTCTTTAATCCATTTGAATTTGGGGTACATGTTATGATTTGTCTACATTAATTTCCCTTTTAAAAATAAAAATAATTCCTCAAGCCCAATTAGACAATTGAGTTATCCTTTTCACACTGATACCTCTTTTATAGTACACTGCATTCTTACGTATAACAGGATCTGTTTTTAGCTGTGTATCCTGATTCAGTAATTGGTATATATGTGTGTGTCTATAGATCAATAGAATGCCATTTCCATGTGCAGACTCAAGGGCAAACTTAATCCTTTTTCTATGACTACATCTCCTGTCAGGTGTCCCCTCTGCCGTGGCTCTATAGGATTCTGTTAGATAGCGGTGGTCATTGTACAACTCTACAAATATACTAAATGCTACTCAATTGCTCATTTTAAAATGGTGAGTTTTATGTTGTATTTTACAATACGAGAAAAAAACATACAGAGCAAATTAAGCAATAAAAAGGGCAGTTACTAACTCCAGGGAAAATAACATTTAATTCTGTGATCTTTGAAATGTCTTCTATTTAAATTGTTTTAGAGTCCTACATACATTATCTATGTGACCTGCAAAAAGTAACCTAATCTCTTTGAACTTCATTTTCTTGTCTGTAACATGGGTTGTATCAGTTTGGTTTCTTTGTTGCAAGCTGCAGAAACCAATTGTGTCTTTAGCAAACACGGACTGTTTGGAAAGCCCAGATCCAATTTGCCTCTCAGATCCACTCTCTGACATTCTCCTGCAGTGCGTCCTTTGGGGCTGATCTCTACGGTCCGCTTCATCTGGGCTTGCTTTATCCTCTGGCTTCTAATTGTGTTTGGCCAGTGGTAGAAAATCAGAGCGGAAAAAAAATGTAAGAGTATTAATTTTCCCACTCCGCCCCTGCCAGCCTGTGGTAGTTACTGTCTTTTTTTTTTTTTTTTTTTAAGGAAAATGTATCCAAAACGTGTTTATTGGAATGGTTTCCCATTCATCCTGATTCAGGGTGCTTTTAGTGCTGCTTCCTACTAAGGAACATTCTTCTGTGAGCTTTGCTTGTCCTTCCATAGGCTGATAGGACAGTGGAACAGTCAACACACACAGCTTTGGGCATGGCAAAAGAGCATGGTGACTTTATAGTATCCTGGTCATTTCACATCCATGAAGAAGGAATTGGTTTGTCACCAGGAGCTTCTCGGGTTTTCTCTTCTGGAGAGGCGTGAAGGAGATCCTTCTCTAGCGACATCACGCTGGAAAGCTTATTCCTTTTTCTGTGTCTGCATCTCCTGTTGGATGGCCCCTCTACTGTGGCTCTGTAGATTCTGCTAACGTGACTCCCTTTTTTTAATCCTTTAGTCTGCAAGTGGAGATGCAATTCTGTTGACATTTCCTGCGTTTGTCTCCTTTAGGGACCTAGTTAGGTAGCAGGTAAAAATCAACTGTCTTCTAGAAACGTCACTGCTAGAATGAGTGAACTTCAATTGTTTTTAGGCTTTTTGTTTCTCAAAATTAAAACTGCAGGAAAGGACCAGGCAATTCACCTAGCATGGATCATTTACCTTTAGGGTAATTTACCTGCCCCTTGGCAAGGGGAGAGCAAAACGCCTGGATTAATAGTCCTAATGCTGAAATCAAGGACAGATAATTCCCCTAAAATAAATTAGTTGTTACCATAGGTAAGAAACAGAGATGCTGCTAAGCTTAAACAATATATTTCCACTGCATGAGGATGCTAATAATATCTGTCCCACACAATTATTAGGATTAAAGAGTGAAATTATAAAAGTTAACAGTGCCTGGTAGGTACATGGTAAGGGCTTAATAAATGTTGGCTACTGTTATGAAGATGTTTTCCACATTTGTTTTCAGCTTTTAATGTTTTAATTATTTTCCTAAATAAAATTTAGAAACATTTTCCAGGTTTTTAAAAAGTAAATTTCCTTGGGATTTTTATTGGACTCAAATTTATAAGTTAGGAAGAACTAATATATAATACTCAGATCTTAAAAACATCAATGATATATATTTTGATCAAATTTTTATAGTTCCTAGCAACATTCTGTAGTTTATTTCATGCAATGTCTTAAGTTTTAAGTTTATTCCTATATATTTTATAATTTTGGATTTTCTCTGCTTTTTTTTTTTTTTTTTTCAGGGTCTGTTGCCCAGGCTGGAGTGCAGTGGTGCTATTTCAGCTGACTGCAACCTCTGCCTCCTGGATTCAAGTGATTCTCATGCCTCAGCTTCCCGAGTAGCTGGGATTACAGGTGCACACCACCAAGCCTGGCTAATTTTTGTATTTCTAGTAGAGACAGCATTTTGCCATGTTGGCCAGGCTGGTTTTGAACTCCTGGCCTCAAGTGATCCTTCTGCCTTGGCCTCCCAAAGTGCTGAGATTATAGTTGTGAGCCACTGCGCCTGGCTCAGTCGTTATGGTGAATGGGATTTCCCATCTTATGCAAAAATTATTGCAGAGACGATTTACTCCCTGAGGTAGATTAGTTTTGAAAATAGAAACATAGATCCAACAACTACTCAATGTTTGCTATTTGCTTGTTGAGAATCCTTACAGCCTGGCAATTACAGGGTTCTAGAAATCTGGCCCACATTCAGATACAAATTGTCTTTACAGTGTTGGCCTGTGGGTGTCACTGTTGGTCAAAGGAAACGTCTCAGTTTAGCAGGGAAGTGAGTTGTGTTGACTTTGTATCCAGGAGGTCACCATGGAAAAGTTTTTGCACTCAACAGACAATGCCCCACATTTATGAGCTGCTTTACTTTCCAGCACCATTGGTAACTTGCCTTTCCTACTGCCTGTAATTGCAGGTTTGTATCTTTTAAGTTAAAAATGTGACTGGACGTGATGGCTCATCCCTGTAACCCCAACATTTGGGGAGGCTGAGGACGGAGGGTTGCTTGAGCCCAGAAATTTGAGTCCAGCCTAGGCAACATAGTGAGACCCTATCCTAACAAAACAAAACAAAACATTTTTTTTTTTTTAAATTTTCCATCCATTTTTCTTTCCCTGCAGTGAGCATATGTGTGAGGTTATTCCATTTTGAACAACTCCGTGGGTCATTTGTTTTATTTATTTACACTTACCTGATGCCTACTCTGTTCCAGGTACTTTTCAAAGCACTTGGCAAATATAAACCCATGGAATTCTCATAACCCTAGGAAATAGATATTATTATGACCTTCACTTTATTTATTTGGAAACTGAGGCACAGAGAGGTTGAATAACTTACCCCAAGTCACACAGCTGATAAATGATGGGGCTGAGATTTGAATCCAAGTAGCCTGGCCTCAGAGTTAGAATTCTTATGAATGTCAATAGTGCCCCTGAAATAGCAGAGCTCTTATTTGCTCGCCTTCCCTGCCTGACTCTCTTAAATGTTGACTTTTCTTTTTTTTTTTTTTTGCAGTGTCTTTTTCTTTGTTGTTGTTAGAACAACTCAGCAAAATAAAATTCCTGTTTATTGTTGGACAACATTGTTTCACACATACATCAAACGGGCCAAAAAAAATAAACAGCAACTTCATAGACAAAAAAGGAAAAAAAAAGAAACCTTTTATCTTTGGCCTTTTTAACCATCTCATACAAACCAACTACTTATAGTACAGCTAAGTACATACACAAAAAAGTTACTGGAATGCTCGGAATAAGATTGTTTTTCTGTTGTCGTTTTTGCTTTTTTTACAAGGTTTTTTTTCTCCTTTGAGATTATAATGAACATGGTCACACCACAAGTAAAGTCAGAAGTAGGACAGAGAACGCTCCGAAGGCTGGTTTGGTCATCCGAGATCATTAAAAATGGCTGACCCTAACAATATGTACAAAAATATAAAATGTAAATAAAAAATACAAACAAATTTCCTTTTTAAAGTACTTTTAAGAAAAAAAGCAGGGCCTTGGAAGTTTTGGTTCTTTTTTCCTCCCCTGTTGCAAATTCTCATGGTTTGGGTGGGGTGGTGGAGAGCGCGTGTCATCTGCGGGTGGCACTGCCCACGGTGGGCAGGCGGGCGGGCCTCTCGAAGGTGACCACGTTTAGATTCTGAGACGGGAAGTGGAGGGTGAATAGGTCACGGCGGCCTTTTTTTTTTTAGTTTAACTTTTCCTTTTTTGCTGTCTAGTCATCCTCGTCAGTCTTCTGCTTCTTGGTATCAACATTGTCATCCTCATCATCTTCAGCTGCCCGCTTGCCCGTAGCTGACTCAGCTTCCTCATCTTCATCTCCATCCTCTTCCTCACCATCACCTTCTTCTTCCTCCTCCTCTTCCTCCCCGCCTTCTTCCTCTTCTTCATCTACCTCATTGTCAGCCTCTTGCTCCCCATTTTCCTCATTAGCATTCCCGTTAGCAGGGGCGTCTCTTCCATTTTCTGCCTCTTCCACAACTTCCTTCTTCTCCTTTAAGTCCTTGGTGGTGATTTCGGAGCTGGTGTCTACGGCTGCGTCTGACATGGTGGGGCACGCCGGTGATCCGATGCAGGGGATTTAAAAAGAAAGCGAGAGTTCAGGGACTCTGGCGATAAAGCTGCCGGAGTCCGCGGCGGCGGAGGAAGCGCGCGGGGGAGGCGGCTGCGGCGAGCGAGGAGGCGGACGAGGAACAATGCAAAGATAGCTTTTCAGAGCAGCCAGTGGGGGCTGCAGTGTCTTTTATTATGACATAATCACTAACTTAAAGAAAAGTTGCAAGTACATAGAACTTTTCCCCATAAATTATTTGAGAATGTTGTTGCTATGAGGCCCTGTTACTCCCAAATGCTTTAGTGTATATTTCCCACAGACAAGGACATTTTCCTGCATATCTACAATACAACCATCAAAATCAGGAAATTAGGATTGATATGTGTATTAGTCTGTTCTCACACTGCTATAAAGAACTACTTGAGACTGGGTAATTTATAAGAAAAGAAGTTTAATTGACTCACAGTTCCACAGGCTGTGCAGGAGGTGTGGCTGGGGCGGCCTCAGGAAACTTATAATCATGGACGAAGGCGAAGGGATGCAGGCATGGTCTTCACATGGCCAGAGCAGGAGGAAGAGAGTGAGGGGGGAAGTGCTACATACTTTTAAGCGACCAGATCTCTCGAGAACTCTATCACGAGACAGCACTACGGGGATGGTGCTAAACCATTAGAAACCACTTATGTGATCCAATCACCTTCCACCAGGCTCCACCTCCAACACTCGGGATCACAATTTAACGTAAGATTTCAGTGGAGACAGAGCCAAATCATATCAACGTGTTACTAATATCTAATCCTCAGATCCCGTTCAACTTTTGCCCCTTGTATGTTGTCATATCCCTTTAGTCTCTTTTAGTCTTCTCATGACTTTCATGCTTTTGAAATTACAGGCCACTTATTTCATAGATCATCCCTCAAGTTGACGTTTCCTCATAATTAAATTCAGGTGTGCATCTTAAGCCATACACTCACAGAAAAACACCGTATTCTCACCTGCATCCTATCAGGCAGTGTGCGACGTGATTTCTGTTTGCCCATACCAATGATGTTAACTTTGATTTCTTGATTAAGGTGGTGTCTGCCAGCATTCTCCACTGTGAAGCATCTCTGTTACCCTTTGTAAATTAGTAGGTCTTTGTGAAGGGAGATACTTTGAAACTATGTACATGTCCTGCTCTCCATCAAACTTTCCATTGATTCACTTATTTATATTTGTATGTACTTAAATTTTTCTATTTTATCCAATGAGTTATAATCCATTTATTACATTACTTATTTTGATGCTCAAAATAAATTTTTATATCCCTGATTTGGCCAGCAGGACTCCCTTCAAGCTGGCTTCACTGTCCTTTCAACATGTTTCTGTCCTTCTCTGAGCACTTCCTTTCTTTTTGGTACAAGATGTTCCAGGCTCAGTTTGCACTTTTCCTGCCCCAGCCCTGGAATCAGCCATTTCTTCAAGGAGCCCAGATCTTTTTTGGTAAAGCATCATGTTTATAAGCGAGAGTCTGGTATAGAGATGCCTGTTGATGTGGGGATGTCACTGCTCCCAGGCTCTTGCAGCTGGCAGACATGTACATCTACATTTATTTCTAAATCTGTTTATATAGACAAGTGTGAGTTTACATGAAAACTTCCAAATCCTATCCAACACCACAGCGTTCCTTTTTAGTTTGTTTCCTTTCAGTATCTGCAACTTGTCTCTGATGAGAAACCTGCCTCACTACCCTTGATGCATTTTTTTGTAGATCACTCCCTGTGTATCACTTATCTCCCATCCCCTGAGGACACCCTCCTCACCTCTCTCCGGTTCTGATGGTGCTGGACTTGTCCTCACGTGAGTGCCCTCATCACCTAGTTCAGGGTCTTACACCCATGCACAGCTTTGCGACGTGGAGGCACCCTTCTCACCCATCTAATGGCTTCAGGACTGAATTGTTTGGGAAGAGAAGAGGTAGAGAAAGAAGACGGATCTTTCCTTAAATGCAGAATTTTGAGTCAGAATCAAAATAGTACTTGACTCCCCATGCGTGCTTGTTCTGGGGCAGGAAGGAGAGATGCCTGGAGTTAAGCTGGAAGAGTGGAATAGGCAGGGTGGGCACAGGTCCCAGAGGTGGAGCACCTGCATTCCAGGCACAGCTCTGTTTCTAAGGGGCCAGTGATGTTAGAAAAGTAATTTGATCTCCTTGTGCCCCTGCTCTTCCAATAATGAATTGGACCAAATCTAAATCAAAGACTGGTGCCCCATGGCCAAAATTGGCCTAAGTCCTTATTTTGTTTGGGAGTCAACTTCCTTTCTTTTTTTTTTAGACAGGGTCTCCCACTGTGCCCAGGCTGGAGTGCAGTGGTGTGATGATGGCTCACTGCACCCTTGACCACCTGGGCTCAAGCAATCCTCCTATCTCAACCTCCCAAGTAGCTGATACCACAGGTGCGTGCCACCATGCCTGGTGAATTTTTGTATTTTTTGTAGAGATAGGGTTTTTCCGTGTTTCCTAGGCTGGTCTCAAAATCCTGAGCTCAAGCAATCCACCCACCTCAGCCTCCCAAAGTGCTGGGAGTGATACAGACAGAAGGCAGGGAGATACTGTGTAGAAGAGGGCGGTTCCCTGTCAAAGGCCCTGCCCTCAAGCTTGGGAACCCATGGCCCTAAATGGGAACAAGCATTCCTGTTTTTGTGCCCAAATGTTGCCTTTTGCCCCACCATGCTCCCTATCCTGTACTCATATAAACCCCAAACCTCAGGCTCCACGAGCAGAAGAACAGAGGAGCATAAGAGTGCAGCAGAGGAGAGAAGGGAAGGAACATCTGAACGTTGAGAGGAGTTTGGCTGAGGATGGTTGGAGAGGAGATTGGCTGCGGGTCTGCCTAACTCCAGGGGAAGATCATCTTCCCACTCCATCCCCTTGCCAGCTCCCCATCCATCCCGCTGAGAGCCACCTCCATCTGGCAATAAAATCCTCCTCATTTGCCACCCTTCAATTTGTCCATGTGACCTGATTCTTCCTGGATGCTGGAAAAGGACCCGGGTACCAAGAGGGCACTGAGCTAGTTAACACTTAAGCCATCTGTGATGGCAGAGCTAAAAAAGTATTGTAATATGCCCACTGGGGCTTCAGGAGTTGCAGACACCCACCCCTAGATGCTACTGTGGGGTTGGAGCCAAAAAGCGCTTGCCCCAGCTCCTGCATGCTCCCTCTCCTCTGTGGGGTTTGAGTGCACAGTGGCTGAAGAGATGAGCCACACTCTGTCACACGTCTCTGAGGGGGGTCAGGGAACTCTCCCATTTAAGTATTATAGACGTGAGCCACTGCACCAGGCCAGGAGACAACTTTCAAAAAATCAAATTTAAGTTTCTTTAGTTGGAGGCATGCACTCCAATTAGCCCCAGGTGGGCAACAGCTCAGACCATCTTTCCCAACTTTATAAATTTCCCTCTTTAGGCTAAGTTACATTTCAAGCCTCTTCTAGCTCAAGGATTCAATGGCTTTCTCCTTTAGGCACTGATGAATTAGGCACACCTCCAACTACCCCTTCTTGGCTAAGGACAGTCTTTCTACCTAGAAGAATGAAATAGTCTTAGACTTGCAGGCAGGGCCCTGGTATTATTTAGGACGTTATTTTAGCTGCCCTAACAGAGACCTCAAAGAATAAAAAATAACCAAGGTAGTTTCTCACTGAGCCCAGGTACAAACATGAGTCCAGAGTGACTCCATGGTGTCTAGGCATTCAGCTCCTTCTGCGTAGCTGTTCTGCATCAAGGATGGCTCGCTGCCCTGTCCATGTGTCAGCTGGTCATTAGGGATGTGTCAACCCTTCCATTTCAGGGTGGGGCCCAGAGGTGGCACACATCACTTCCACTCACTCCACATTGGCAACACTTATCCACACAGCAAATACAGCCAAAAGGGAGGTTGAGAAGCAAGTATTTACTCTTGGGAGCCACACACTCAGTCAAGAATTGGCTGTTCTATGATGCTGAAAGAGGACAGAATGGATACTGGGAGAAACTAGTGGCCTCTGCCACAGTATTTGTGAAAACATGCCTCTCCACCCACTGTCTGGAATATCCTCTGTTGCATTCATTTTCATCTCCTTATGCTATCAGAGAGTTGCCAGTTAAGAATTCATTTAGGTTCTGCCACCATTACCTGGAGCTATCCATCCCTCATCCCTTAGTAAAAAACAGAAGTAATCAGCTCCCAAAGGCAGCCAGTCAGGGAAAATTTCAAAATTATTAGGAAGAGAGTAGGAGGTAGAAGAGGTAAATTTGGACAAACGGGACAGTTAGAGATAGGATGGGCAAAGATAGGAAACCCCGTGGGGAGCCAGTAGGCGGGTGGAAAGAGTGGATGGAAAACAGTGCTGATAAGGGAGCAGTGGAACAGGAAGAGAGGCTAGGGCCGAGTGCAGGATCTTCCTTCAGCATGGCCTCTTCTCCATTTGCTATGCTCTGGCTCAGCAGATTCTTAATCTATGGCACCAGGCCTGTCAGGAGACCTGCATTTAATTCCCAACTTTTAGCCAGGAAACACTGGGAAAGCCACAATTCTTTTTTTTTTTTTTTTTTTTTGAGATGGAGTCTCGCTCTGTTGCCCAGGCTGGAGTGCAGTGGCACGATCTTGGCTCACTGCAACCTCTGCCTCCTGAGTGCAAGTGATTCTCCTGCCTCAGCCTCCTGAGTAGCTGGGATTACAGGCATGTGCCACCATGCCCAGTTAATTTTTGTATTTTTAGTAGAGATGGGGTTTCACCATGTTGGACAGGCTGGTCTCAAACTCCTGACCTCAAGTGATCAAGCCTATCTCAGCCTCCCAAAGTGCTGGGATTACAGGTGTGAGCCACTGCACCCAGCCAGCTACATCTCTTCTAAGGCCTAGCATCCTCCTCTGTAAAATGACTGTAATGTTACCTACCACACTTCTCTTCCCCAAACAATAGTGAAGTACAAATGCACTATCAAATGTGAAAACTTTCTGTGTACAATATAATAGATGGTATTGTGCCCAGAATTTATTCCTTCCAGTGGGTTCTTGGTCTCGCTGACTTCAAGAATGAAGCCGTGGACCTTTGCGGTGAGTGTTACAGTTCTTAAAGATGGTGCAGACTCAAAGAATGAGCAGCAGCAAGATTTATTGTGAAGAGTGAAAGAACAAAGCTTCCACAGCGTG